CCAGTGCAGTTAAAACCATCCCAGCCCCTGGCTTTCTATCTTCGCTGATTTCTGTGAAGAATGAAGTTCTGCTTTGGATCCAAGCAATGTTGGCTCAGGTTGATTTTGGGGGTATTTGTATTGAAAAAGAGGTAAGGTTTCCAACAGCAATGACTTTTGACTTGGCTGAATGGCATAACCGTGGGGACTGGCTTTGCCTATTAGAGTAAATCATGAAAAATGCCTGCAAATTAAAAGAGCTATTATCAGCTCCTTCCTGCTTCTGATGAAAATATATTTAAGGCCTGTCTAGGATTAAAACTTTATTTTTCTGTCCATTTTTTGACTGGATTATTTTCTTTGTTGTTGTTGAGTCTCATCAGCTCTTTGCAGATTTTTGTGATCAGTCCTTTATCATTAGTGTTGGGTGCAAAAATTTTCTCCCAGTTGGAAAAAAGAAACTTCTCTGAAGAGGAAATGCGAATGGCCAACAGGCATATGAAAAAACTGTTCAACATCACTTGCAATCAGGGAAATGCAAATCAAAACTACCATGAGATACCATCTCACACCAGTGAGAATGGCACATATTAAAAAAACTAGCAACAACAAATGTTGGCGAGGTTGTGGAGAAAAAGGAACTCTTCTGCACTGTTGGTGGGAGTGCAAACTGGTCCAACCACTATGGAGAGCTGTGTGGAGATTTCTGGACCTACTAAACATAGAGCTTCCACAGGATCCAGCAATTCCACTCCTAGGTATTTACCCAAAGGACACAGAAACATCAATTCCAAAGAACACCTGCACCCCTATGTTTATAGCAGCACTGTTTACAATAGCTAAGCTTTGGAAACAGCCCAAATGCCCAAAAATAGATGACTGGATCAAGAAGATGTGGTACATATATACCATGGAATATTACTCAGCATTCAAAAAGATAAACACATGCAATTTGCAGCAACATGGATGACGCTGGAAGGGATCATGCTCAGTGAAATAAGCCAAAAAGAAAAAGAAAAATACCGGATGGTCTCACTCATAGCAGGGATCTAGAAAACTTAAATAAGGGACCAGGAAAATAAACTATAAGAAAGTGAAAATCAAAATCAACAAAAACTATGAACCAGAGACACTTTTTGGGGGGTGGGGGGCGGGAGGGGAGGGATTGGGGTCAGAATGGGGGATTGCAATTGTATGGGGAATATAAAATAAAATTTATTAATTAAAAAAAAAAACTTTATTTTTCAAAACATATTAGCAAAGGCGTGTTTAAATTACCAACATTATAATTTTCCTCATTGTTTCTGAGTATACTGGGTTAAGCAACGTGTCTATAAGCAAAAAACCAGAAAAAATTAGTTCTCATTTGATAAATCTTAGTAGAGGTTTTCTTATGTTTTTCAGTAGATGAGAGGGTCTAAGCATGGAGTAAGAAATCCTTCAGCAAAAGAGGAGTACTGAGGAGGACTGACTCTAGAGAAAGAGCAATAAAAATATGTTTTGATGATAGATTATTATATGACTTTAAAACATTTTATATCGTGGTAACACACATAACACAAAGTTACCATCTTAACAATTTTATTTTTTTTAAAGATTTATTTACCTATGGATACAAGAACTAGGGTACAGACCAGAGGTGCAGGGGTGAGAGGGTTCACCAGAGACAGAGTGGGAAGCAAAACAGGCAGACTGACTGAAATACACTGCTGAGGGAGCAGCGGGTGAGACAGGAGAGGTCTGCCGCGCCATGTGGGTAGCTTCCTGGCTGGGGATCGAACTTCTGCTGCAGAGGCTTCTGCTGCTGGATAGCTTCACATTGCTGCGCTTAACCCCTTGCGCCACCAGGGAGGCCCCTCCATCTTAACCATTTTAAAGTGAGCAGTTCAGAGGCACTAATTCATTCACTTTGTGGTCCCACCATCACCATCTGGAACAAAGTGACCTCCACACAAAGGGGAGGTTCCAGGTTCCCTGTCTCACCCAGGGAAGGGTGGAGCTGAGCCTCCTGGAGAAGCTAGAAGACTGGGAGGAGGGCTGGGAAGAAGACCTGGAGGAGGCACATGGAACAAACAGACATGTGAAGGAGACACTGTGTGGGTTTCTTGGGATATTAAAGGATATCTAATCCTTTTTATTGTTGCTGGATTCAGCTTGCTGAAACTTTTTGAGGATTTTTGTGTCCATGTTCTCAGACATAGATACATATTTTTAAAAGGATGATTGTAGGTATTGAATTGATGTGGTAGATTCCACTGAAAACATTTAAAAGAGTAATACAGCAATTTTACTTCCAGATGTCAATATCTACAATATACCAGAAATTACATCCTTTGCAAGTATTCAAACCTATGATGAAAATTTCAGATGTCACTTCACAAACACGTGAAGGGGCATATAGCTTGTCAAAAATTATTTTAGAAGGTACCTTCTAAATGCCAGAGAAATGGCATCAAGATTACTGTTGTAGCCACTCTGAGGAGCCAAGGAAGGTTCTAAGCAGCAGAACAAGATGTTCTTTCAGGGTTTGGGCCTCCCTGGTGGCACAAGGGGTTAAGTCTCAGCACTATGAAGCTATCTACAGCCACTGCAGCATGAGTTGGATCCCAGGCTGGGGCGGTGACTCACAGGGCCCACCAGGCCTCTCCTGTCTTGCCCACCACTCTCCTTAGCAGTGTATTTCAGTAGATCTGCCTGTTCTACTCCCCATTCACTCTCTCTGGTGAATCCTCTCCACCCGCTGCACTTCTGGCCTATACCCCAGTTCTTCTATGCAAAAATAAATAAAAATAAATCTTAAAAAAAAACCAAAACACATGTTCTTTAAGGGTTTTACAAACCACTTTTTGAAACAAGGGTGGAAGCAGGCCCTAAACTTTAGTTCTTTTATTAGATATACCGCTTCAAAGTTGGTAATCAGAAGCCTTTGCAGTGACTCTGGCTGTGTGATGGCCTGAACCAGAGTGGTGATGCTGGAAGTGGTGAAGAGTGATTAAATTTTCAATATATTTTGAGAGTAGAGCCAACAGGAATTGCTACCTGATCTGATGTGCCATGTGGGAAAAAATAGAAAGACAGACTCACAGACAAAAATATAGAGAAAGACAGAGAGAAGAATCAAAGAGGACACCAGCAAAGGGATTAGGACTCATCAACTCATCAACTCATCTAAAAACTTATCTCTGAGGGGGCCTCCCCGGTGGCGCAGCGGTTGAGCGCTGGGTTGCGAAGCTGCGCGCGGCCTCTGCGGCGCCGGTTCGATCCCCGGCTGCTCCCCGGCCACCAGAGGAGGGTCCCACATGGCGCGCAGACCTCTCCTGCCGCCCGCTGCTCCCCTCAGCAGTGTACTTCGGTCCTTCTGCCTGCTCTGCTCCCCACTCTGGCTCTGGTGAATTCTCTCACCCTCCCGCGCTTCTGACTGTACCCAGTGCATGTATAAACAAAAAACAAACAAACAAACAAACCAGCAAAAAAAAAACAAATAAAGCATGCCTCTATAAAAAAAAAAAAAAAAAAACTTATCTCTGAGGGCCTCCCCGGTGGTGCAGCGGTTGAGCGCTGGGTTGCAAAGCTGCCCGCAGCCTCAGCAGCGCTGGTTCGATCCCCGGCCACTGGGTGAGGGTCCCACATGGCACGCAGACCTCTCCTGCAACCCACTGCTCCCCTCAGTAGTGTACTTCATCAGTCTGCCTGCTCTGCTCTCCGGTCTGACTCTGGTGAATTCTCTTGCCCTCCTGCGCTTCTGACTGTATACCCAGTGCTTTTATAAATAAATAAATAAATCTTAAAAACTCATCTCTGAAATGTATTTAGTGACATCCTTTGGCTCGAAGAGTTGCTATGTGGTTTAAAGGAGATATTCTGCCCTTTAACTATAAAAGGTGGAAGCCAGGCCTCTTAGTAAAATATAAACTTTAGTTCTTTTTTTTTTTTTAAAGATTTATTTATTTATGCATACAAGAGCTGGAGCACAGGCCAGGGACATGTGGGGTAAGAGGATTCACCAGAGACAGAGTGGTGAACAGAACAGGCAGATTGACCAAAGTACACTGCTGAAGGGAGCAGTGGGCGAGTCAAGAGAGGTCTGCTGCACCATGTGGGTAGCTTCCTGTATGGGAATCAAACTCATGCTGCAGTGGATGTGGATAGCTTCATAGGTTGTGTCTTAACCCTTGCGCCACCAGGGAGGCCCTAAACTTTAGTTCTTTTATTAGATATACTGTTTCAAAGTTGGTAATCATGTGGTAATCATGTGGGGATGAGTCTGCGCTGTTTCATCTTTTATTTTTACACTAAAATCTACCCTTTCAGAGGGCAAGTTGTGATTTTGTGCAGTGTCAGCTCATATTCTGTTGGCTGGGACATGTATTTCTTAAATACTTACTGAGTATTTAGATTGTTAAATACCTTTGCCAAATCCCATTGATATGTTGTTTCTATAAACCTGTTCCCTTAGGTCTCCCCATTAGCTCAGACTGCCTTTGAGGCTCTATTTTCTTCTCCTCCTTTCTGGTCCCCATGATCCACACATAAAAAGGTCAATGACAAGCTAATCACGTGCATCCTTTCAAAGGCAGCTTCAACATTTATTTGGGCAGAGTTGAAAATGAAAGGTGAAGAAGGAAAACCCCAGGAGGTAGTCTTTAGTCTTCTCTCTGTTGTCCCAAGTTCTTGCTGGAAATTTGCACACCCCATCAGGCAAACAAAAGTCCTGTGGTTAACAGAACTGTCTCCTTTGAAGGCAAGTTAGCCAAGCTCACACTAGCATAACACTTTGCAAAGTCCTATTCATCAATGCACTCTTCACCTCCCAGGTTCTAGCCCAGGAGAGCCAGTTGTGCAGCAGTTGTTCAGTCACCATTCTCTAAGCACTGCTGGTTCCAAAGGGAAATGAGATGAGTAAGACTTGGATATGGAGAAATAGTTTGAGGGATTCAACCGAGGCTATGACAATAATTACAAGAACTGGGCAAATTCGTTTTGACTTTTCTCAGTTGTTAAATGTGTCTATGAGTGCCTACCTTAGTGGCTTTCAAACTCTTTCTGCTGGAACCTTCGGTAAGGTATATCCTTTACATGGTGATGGGAAAGCAAGGCGCACACACACACAGCTAAAATAAAAGATAAGAAACAATACTTACTCTTATTTCCAGTGATACTGAGATTTTAATTTTTATTTTAGTTCATAAAAAATGTCATGACTCATTAATTGGATTTCAGAAACTCTCAGTTTAAAAAATATGAGGTAAATGAGATAACATATAAGGGGTTTGATCTAGAGGAAGCCTTCCTAGAAAACTAGGTTTCCTGGAAACTCTGAAAAGTGCTAAGGTAAAGGAAAGAAGAAGGTTAAATAATGTGGGTCAGGGTGTCAATTAATTCAACTGATAAGTGAGAAGGAGGAAAACTGATGGATGAATAAGATACACAAAATACCAATAGCAAAAATTTTCCAATGCTGCTTGAAACTTTTTTAGTTTTCATCATTAAGTAGCTAGTTTCTTCTCATTCACCATCCCAGGGTCTCAATTCAAATGCCTCCTCCCCTGTCTCAGCACCCCTTTTCTTATCACTAGCTCCTGTAACCTTTCGTTTGTCTTACAGCATCTTACTAACCCATCAGTGTTTATCTGTTAGCGATGTTTATCACCTGCTGTAACCCTGCACTTTAAGTGATGATATCTTTTTTTTTTTAAGATTTATTTATTTATATGTACAAGAGCTGGGGTACAGGCCAGAGATGCGGGGGGTGTGTGTGTGTGTCTGTGAAAGGACCCACCAGAGACAGAGTGGGGAACAGAACAGGCAGACTAACCGAAATACACTGCTGAGGGGAGCAGTGGGCGAGACAGGAGAGGTCTGCAGCGCCATGTGGGTAGCTCCCTGGGCCGGGGACCGAACTCATGCTGCAAAGCCTGCGGCTTGCTTCACAGTGCGGTGCTTAACCCCTTGCGCCACCAGGGAGGCCCCTAAGTGAAATAGCACATCATGCAATGTATAGCTCTTGAATGAATGAAGGACCACAGGAAATGAACAACAATCCATTTTAATCACAGATGTAGTCAATGCCTCACAGATATTTATAAATATAAACGTTCAAGGTACTGGGGCTTATTCTTTGCTCGCCTTCTTTAGGACTTAAGAAAATTGGGTATCATGAGAATAAAAATAATGAAGGAAGAAAATGCTTACTTTGAGGGACTGGGTATCTAGGAAAGGGATAACTCTTAAATTCATTGTTTTGAGTTCTAGTTAATCTGCACCTACCTTATTTCCCTTTGAGCTTGAGAGGCAGGGCCAAATCGTTGATTTCTTATCCTTCGTTAATTATCTGTACATTGCCCAGAAGGTAGCCGGCGCTCAATAAATATTTGAGAAATGAAAAACAAACTGGAAACCAGGCACAGGATGAACGAACTGCTTCGGACAGGCTGCAGTTCCTCCCCGGGGCAGGAGGCGGCGCCAGCGCCACACCAGTCCAGCCGCCGGCGGGTCTTGGTCCCTTCGGCGGACCGTCCAACGCGAGGCCCCGGGGGCCAGTGCAAAGATTAGCCAATAGAAAAGCGTCTTAGTGATGGAGTGACCCGCAGCTGCCCAATGAGCGTAGTGAGTCTAGGCCAGGGGCGGTGCGACAAGGAGGGGCCGAGGGGAGCGGTTGGAGGTGGGAGTTGTCGCTGCGGGCCGGGCGGGGGCCGCGGGGCTGCGATGCGGACGGGCCCGCGGCGGTGACCGGAGCTGCCGCCCGACATGAACTCGCTGGAGCAGGCGGAAGGTAGGGCGGGCCTCCGGGGCGCCCCGGCGCGTCCCGGGCTCCTCCCGGAAGCCGGAGGGACCGGAATCGCGGGGACCCCGCCCCGGGGCGCGGAGGCCGCGGAGCGTGGACTGACCGGCCCGGAGCCTGCGGGGCGCGGGGGCCGGTCCCGGGGCCAAAGGGCAGCGGGACCCGGCTGGGCGCTGGTTCCGGCGCGCGCGGCCCGGGCGGGGCGCCCCCGGCCGAGACTGAGGCTCCCTGCATGTTTTTATTCATTAGGGGACGGTGTGCACGTCGTGCGTTGGGCTGTGCCGGTTGGCTTTATCTTTACTTTATTCTGCTAAGCCCTCGGGCTGCAGCCCCAGTTTCTTCCGTGGGTTTTGGTGACTGCGGGGTCAGGGAGAACCTCTCGATCTCCCTTTGGAAGTTTGAAAAACGCGATTGTGGAAATGATACCCCCACCTTGCTCGTGCAGGACGTGCCCGGGGCCACGGACTCACCTGTGACCCGGACTCACCTGTGACACGGACTCACCTGTGTCGAGAGGGGGGGTGAGGGCGTGGCTGCGCCCCCGGGGGTCAGGCCGGACCGAAAGCTTAGGGAGTGATTAAATGTCAGGAGCAGAAATCGGAATTGGGCAACTGCATTCAGACAGACCTCGCAGACTGGGAGGTTCACCAAATACACCGTGAATGGGGAATCACTGGTTCCAGTAGGAAGAGAAAATCGAACTGATTGTGATCGTTGTATCTGCAGCCTCCAAAATTCAAGCTTTTGGCGCGGACTGAGGCTACTGACGATTTTCTGCCTACCTTTTTTTAAAAAACCTTTTTAAAAATATATATATAATTTGTTTATATTTTACATGGTTTTTCATTTTTGTACAGTGTTTCCTTTCTCTTCTCTGATGTAGTCCCCACAGAAGTCCCACCATCACCCGTTCAACGTTCCTTTTAATGAAACTTCTAAAAATGTACCAGATAGTCTCCTGATACGTGAAATCAGGATTAAAGAAACCCAATATTTCTATCAAGTGTTGAAGCTGTCTTTGTAAACTAAACAGTGTAGGGATACTTGTAAGTTGTTATGTAAGAGCAGTAAGTCAGTATGGAAAGTTTCATCTATTGTTAGTAGACTTGAACTAGTAAGAAAGACTAATTAGAAACTTGAAATCTTTGTACCTAGATCTCAAGGCTTTCGAGAGGAGACTTACTGAATATATTCATTGTTTGCAACCTGCTACTGGCCGTTGGAGAAGTAAGTTCCTGAAATATTCTTTAAGAGAAAGCAAAACTATTGATGCTTTTATCTCTGCATTGCAGTGGTATGCTATTATGTGTAAGTTTTGGTTAACAAATGCTTGCTTTACCTAAACTATAAGACTTCTTTTACTTTTGAAAGCCTTGTTAATTATTTAACATTGTAAACAATGTTATATAAGAAAATTTTAAAAAGAAATGTAGTATGATTCGTTTTAGGGGTTTTTGTTTAAGCTTATTTTTTGTTAAATATTATAACTTTGGGGAAAAGTATACATAATAAAAATTTCAATAACCTGTTTAGTGTTCTTACAATTTGCCTACAAACTATTAAAATAAAGTTTCACTAAGAAAAATGATTTTTAATGTATACTTGCAAAGTTTATGAAATTACTTAGTGGATTTTATTTTTTTATTAATTTTTTTAAAGATTTATTTATGCATACAAGAACTGGGGTGTAGGCCAGAGGTGTGGGAGTTGAGAGGATTCACCAGAGAGAGAGTGGGGAGCAGAACAGGCAGATCTACTGAGATACACTGCTGAGGGGAGCAGCGGGCAAGACAGAAGAAGTCTGCTGCATCATGTGGGTAGCTCTCTGCCTGGGGATCAAACTCATGATGCAGTGACTGTTGATAGCATGATAGTGCTGAGACTTTAACCCCTGTACCACCAGGGAGGCCCTCTTAGTTGATTTTAACAGGACATAATTGTGCTTCTTTGGAGCGTGAGCCAGAAAAAAAAATTATATTCTTACTGTAAGAAATCCATATTCATGATTTGAAGAAACTATGATTGCTCCCTCCATGGATGTATGTGTGTCTATGTATTTGTATATGATGTGTGTAGACATGTGTATTGTATATATATATATAAATCATACATATGGACCTCGCTGGTAGCGCAAGGGGTTAAGACAGCCCGTCCACAGCCTATGCAGCATGAGTTCGATCCCTGGCTGGCCGGGGAGCAATCCACGTGGTCAAGCAGACCTCTCCTGTCTCACCCACTGCTCCACTTAGCAGTATACTTTGGTCACTCTGCCTGTTCTGTTCCCCATTCTGTCTCCGGTAAATCCTCTCACCCCCAGCATCTCTGGCCTGTACCCCAGCTCTTGTACACATGAATAAATAAATCTTAAAAAAAAAATCACACATAAATGAAGTACAGAAAAATATACAAGGGAAGACATCAGCAAACAAAATGTTTTCCTAATTTATTTTGTGACCAATCTTAATTTTTGGATGTTCATTGTTAAAATTCAATTTCTGCCCAGAAGGAATATAATAACACACAGATGGGACATGCTCTCTTTAGAGTATAACTCAGTTTGTGGGCCCAGAAGAGAACTATGGAAGTTGCAGATATTTTCTGTGTCAGGATTGTTTTGTTGATTTTTTTTTTCTATTTTTTTTTTTTTAAAGATTTATTTATTTATTTATTTTATACAAGCACTGGGTACAGTCAGAAGCACGGGAGGGTGAGAGAATTCACCAGAGCCAGAGCGGGGAGCAGAGCAGGCAGAAGGACCGAAGTACACTGCTGAGGGGAGCAGCGGGCGGCAGAAGAGATCTGCGCACCATGTGGGACCCTCCTCCGGTGGCCTGGGAGCAGCCAGGGATTGAACTGGCGCTGCAGAGGCTGCGGGCAGCTTTGCAACCCAGCGCTCAATCGCTGTGCCACTGGGGAGGCCCTGTTTTGTTTATTTTTTATTAAATCTTTTTGCAGTTTTTTGTGTTGTTGTTGTTGTTTTGTAGCGTTTTAATTATATGCGGTGAGAATTCTAATTGGTCATAATTCACAAGTAATGATTTTCTCAGGGTCCCTTGCTAACCTAAGAATTACCCTACAAACCTTGTTTTTCTGTTAACTGAGAGTCTTTTATGATGTGTATGATGCAGTGCTTTTGTACAGAATGTAATGTTACAGATTTTTTCTCCACTCATGGTCTCAGCACTTACATATAAATTAGCATGGTTAATGTAGCCATCAATGTGCGTATGTAAGAGCCTCTCTCTTGGGTTTGCTTTTGCTTTATTTAAAAAAAAAAAACAAAACCTAGGGGACCACCCTGGTGTCACAAGGGGTTAAGTCAGCGCTATGAAGCTATCAGCAGCCACTGCAGCACGAGTTCGAGCCCCAGCCAGGGAGCTACCCACATGGCCCGGCAGACCTCTCCTGCCTTACTCGCTGCTCCCCTCAGCAGTGTATTTCAGTAGCTCTACCTGTTCTGTTCCCCGCTCTGTCTCTGGTGAAGCTTCTTCCCCCCACCTCTGCCCCCGCATCTCTAGCCTACACACCAGCTTTTGTATGCATAAATAAATAAATCTTTTTTAAAAACTATACCATAATACTTTATTTATTTATTTATTAAAGATTTATTTATTTATGCATGCAAAAGCTGGGGTACAGGCCAGAGGTGTGAGGGGTGAGAGGATTCACCAGAGACAGAGTGGGGAGCAGAACAGGCAGATCTACTGAAATACACTGCAAAGGGGAATAGTGGGTGAGACAGGAGAGGTCTGCTGCGCCATGTGGGTAGCTCCCTGGCTGGCTGGGGATCGAACTCATGCTACAGAGGCTGCAGATATTTCATAGGTTGCGTCTTAACCCCTTGGGCCACCAGGGAGGCTGCATAATACTTTTTTTAATACTAGTATATTTTGTATTAGAAATATAAAATTAGAAGAAATGGAGTCAGTTCGTCTTTGAGCTCAGAACATAATTTTAAAATTTTTTTCCTATAATCAAATACCTAAAATGAGATTTTTCTGTGATCTGCCTCTTCTAAAAGTACATCACCAGGAATTCTAAATAATTGAACTTCTACTGTGTTCCACTAAGAGTAATTTCATAACCTTCGCAAGTATACATTAAAAATCATTTTTCTGGGCCTCCCTGATGGCGCAGCGGTTGAGCGCTGGGTTGCGGCCTCCGTGGCGCTGGTTCGATCCCCGGCTGCTCCCTGGCCACCGGAGGAGGGTCCCACATGGCGCGCAGACCTCTCCTGCCGCCCGCTGCTCCCCTCAGCAGTGTACTTCGGTCCTTCTGCCTGCTCTGCTCCCCGCTCTGCCTCTGGTGAATTCTCTCACCCTCCTGCGCTTTTTTTTTTTTTTTTTTTTAAAGATTTATTTATTTATTTAAACAAGCTCCGGGTACAGTCAGAAGCGCGGGAGGGTGAGAGAATTCACCAGAGCCAGAGGGGAGAGCAGAGCAGGCAGAAGGACCGAAGTACACTGCTGAGGGGAGCAGCGGGCGGCAGGAGAGGTCTGCGCGCCTTGTGGGACCCTCCTCTGGTGGCCGGGGAGCAGCCGGGGATCGAACCGGCGCTGCAGAGGCTGCGGGCAGCTTGGCAACCCAGCGCTCAACTGCTGCGCCACCGGGGAGGCCCCCGCGCTTCTGACTGTACCCAGTGCATGTATAAACAAAACAAACAAATAAATAAAAAACATGCCTCTATAAAAAAATAAATTTAAAAAATCATTTTTCTTAGTAAAACTTGATTTTAATAGTTTGTAGGCAAATTTTAAGAAAACAAAACAGGCTACATTTAGAGAATGTCCACATCCCAGGTATCCCTGGTGGTCTAGGGGTTAAGTCTTGGCACTCTCACTGCTAAGGTCTAAGTTCGATCCCCGCCAGGGAGCTAACCCCATATATGGCACTGTAGACCTCGCCTATCTTGCCCACTACTCCCCTTAACAGCGTATTTTTGTAAATCCCCCTGTCCTGCTCCCTACTCTGTCTCTGGTGAAACCTCTCAACACCACCACCACCACCCACACACACACACACCCCACTCTGGCCTACACCCTAGTTCTAAACTAAAACAAACAAAAAAGAATGTCCACATCCCAATTGAAAGACAAGTAGCTGTCCTGATACCCAGAATATTAAAGTATTGGTTCCCATTTTCTAAATTTATTTTCAGTAGTATCATTTTTTTAAGTTTTAGTGAGAGCTGTTTACAATTTCTAAAGTAATTATAGCTTAGTGGGTAGAAAGAAACGTTTTCTAAGTTCTACCATCATTAATTTTTACTTTAACCTTCCTTTAAGTCCCTTAAAGAAAATGTAACACTTACCATTGCACTCCATACTTCCTAACATTGATCTTTGTTTAATTCAATAGCAGGCAGTTGTCTGCAAGACAAAATCCTCTAGTCAGAATTCTCTCTGCGTTCATAAAGAAGTATTTGTTTTTATTTTCTTTAGAGATAAAAGCATTTTTTTTAATTTATAAGATTTGCAAAATCAGCACAAAGTATATTGAAAATTACATAACATAGAATCTTATTAAAGTCTTAACCTTGATTCATTACTCTCCATAAATTCTTTTTTTTTTTTTTTTTTTTTTTTAAGATTTATTTATTTATTTATACAAGCACTGGGTACAGTCAGAAGGACAGGAGGGTGGGAGAATTCACCAGAGCCAGAGCGGGGAGCAGAGCAGGCAGAAGGACCGAAGTACACTGCTGAGGGGAGCAGCGGCCATGTGGGACCCTCCTCCGGTGGCCGGGGAGCAGCCGGGGACCAAACCGGCGCTGCAGAGGCTGCGGGCAGCTTCGCAACCCAGCGCTCAACCACTGCGCCACCGGAGAGGTCCTTCTCCATAAATTCTTAACTAGAGTAATAAGGGGTGGGGGAGATAGTATTATTCTCAATTACTAAGGGTTACAGTATTTAAGAGAATTCCTCAAAGTCATGTGGCAAATCTAACTTGAGCCAAGTGCATTTTCATTTAATAAAGTGCTGCATTCTTTAGCTGGTATTTATGAGGAACTGGCAGTAATGGTATCAAATATTAAGAGCTTATTTCCTTGCTAATTTACTGTTTATCTTTCATCAGTGCTTCTTATAGTGGTATCTGTCTGTACAGCTACTGGTGCCTGGAACTGGTTAATAGATCCCGAGACACAAAAGGTAGAAGTTTTGATTTGAAATCTTTTATGATTAAATTAGATAATGGATATAGTAGAGTAGCGCTTTGTTCATTGATTCATTTTTACATGGTATTATTGTTATTGATTATTTTATTAAAAATATACCTTATATTAATTTGTCTAAGAAAACTTTGGGTGTTGTAAATTAAGTGTCTTTACAGGAAAAAAATTATGAAATATTACTTCACTTACATTTTCATTCATTTCTGAATTTATAATTTTTTTATTTCATTATTATATTGCTTGGTCTGAACATTGTTTTTATTTTGCTTTGTTTACTTAGCTTCATTAGTACCAGTTTTTAAAAACTATAACATTTTCTTCTATGAATTAGCTCTCTGAATACCTTTCCTCATCCCATAAAGCTTATGAGCAAATATAAAATAGCAAAATAAAAATGTCAAGGCCAGAATAAAACAGATTTGACTAGGAAGTCAAATCCAGGAAGTCGAGTCACTGATGTGGGCCATGTGGGCTGGAACAATAGTCATTATCGAGTTAGAATTAGTCTCTGAGTTACCTAATCAATAAAGTCATAGTCATTTCCGTGGCTTTCATTGTCTGTGAAGAAAATATATGTAAAAGTCCTTAAGCTAGCAAAGTTTTCCTTTTTCAGCACATATCTCAAAAAATTTCCTGCCTGAAGTTTAATATAGGAAATACTTGAGAGATCTCCCATTGGGCACTGTCCAAGAAAATCCTCATACCAAATGCAATAACAGATTTCATAAGGTTATTTCTTGAAGCATCCTTTGATGAAATCTAATAGGATGCTTCTCAGTTTTCTCTTTCTATTAATTTGTGCCTTAATTTCAAACTCAGACTTGTGTTGAAGAAGTAGTGGTCTCCAGTTTTTTTCCTCCATTGCAGCTTTCTTTAGGTAGTAATTGATAATTGTAATTTTCACACAAATTTAAAAAAAAAAAACCCACTCCCCATTTTTAGACTGCAATTAGGTAGATTATTTCCAGTAGTTTATTTACAACCTCTGAAGTTATACAGAAAAAAAACTAGTGGCAACTGAAACAGCCTGGGGTTTGTTTAGCACAGTCTCCCTGATTTTATCCACTGGGGTAGAGACATAAAAGGATCGGGGGCAGGGGAGGTTGGTGGTAGAATTTTATGTTAATAGAGGATGTTTTATGGCAGATAAGAAACTCACCTGTGTATTCATTTATAAAAGTCTGATCTTAAGGTTGCACTTGGTGCTCATCTTTAGGGGAAGAGTGGAGGAAGCTGGTAAGGAGATTGAAAAAGATCTATCTTGGGAAATGAATCTGACTTCTAATTGGGAAAAAATATAAGCTGATTTCAGCTAGTTGAGATCTTAATAAAACACAGAATTAAATGTAATTTGAAATAGGCCCAAAACTCTGTAGTTAATAAAATTTTCTAAATTAGGTGAGAATATAACTATTAGCCTAAGGGTTGACTCTCTATATTTCATTATTTAATAACCTCAAATCTGACAAGAGTTTGAAACAGCAATTGTGTCTGTGGCAAGAGCTGCAAATTCAAAGGCCGGTAGCTAGATGGGTGAACCCTAGGAGAGAAGGGAGATGGCGAACGGGAAAGTACATGAAAACCCTGAATGAATAAAGGGCAGAACTGCAGTTTGGATTTGTAGCCAGTTGTTGCTGTGGAGGAAGGAAGGCTGATACTGATAGATCTAATTAAAATTAAAATGTATAACACTGTATGTGATAATGTTTTCCACACCACATAAAGCACAGCTGGCCTGTGGGATTAAGCTGTCCTCAATGATATTAAGAAGACATCCTTCTAGAATATTAACCTTTCTTCGAGATCTGTCTCATCCTTGTGGGAACTTCTCTCCTAAGGTTTTCTGCCTCTCATTTCCTTGCTTGACAAATTTATTTGACTAGAACTGTGCTGGGTTACCTACTTGGTGCTTTCCATAAATTTAGTTCTCTGTTCTACACACATGCAGCTTTGGTTTGAGAGTGGAGTGCAGGTGCCTTAGCTTGATTCTGTTGCTTCCAGCTAGTTACTGGTCCATTTGATTTCTTTTTCCAAACTCTTAATTATTGTCTTGTCTGTTTCTACATCCCTACCCCCTGGTAGTTTGACTTCCATGCCTACCTACTCTTCTTTCAGTACTGCACCCTTGTCCCTCTACATATTCCTAGAATTGTTTGTTGTCCTGTTTTCTGCTGTCATCTGATGCCCAGAACTGAAATTAGATTTAACTTAATTTGTTTAATTTGTTTTTCTTGAACTCTGGTTCTTTATGGGTAGCCATTAAACCATTTTTCCCTGCTGGACTGTACTGTGGCCGCCTAAGTCTGAATAACCTCAAAACCAAACTTATTTTTTACATCTGCAGGAAGAAACGTTGATGTTAGAGCTGAGTCTTAGAAGGGTTTGTAGCAGATGTTGAGGAGAAAGACCAGCGCAGTCGCAGGAGAAGTGTGACTACAGGCAGGTTGTGCGTGGCAGTTTGCCCAGCTCTTAAGGAAGCTTTTTAAAAGGGAAAGTAACTAGATTACGTTTGACTTGTGTTTTCACTGAGATCAGAGGCCTTAACTTTAACAATATTTATTTATCTTTTATGTTTGCCAAGTGGGTGTTTCAGATATTGGGAGAACATTGATGCACAAGGCAGAGCCCTGCTCTCATGGAGCTTACAGTCTTATGCGTTCTAGATTGCTTCTTACTGGGGAGGGTTCAGTACATATTTTTGGTTGGTTGGTTTTTTGAATATAGGGATGAATTTGTAATGATTCAAGTATTTGAAATGAATGGAAGAAGTATTGCCACGCAGAAGATATAAAATATTACACCATTATTTGTACAGTGTAGCGGTACAGAAAGCTAGAATTTTTGGAAATCTTCAAATCTTCATAGTTTAGATTATTAAAATGTTATTTATCTTCAGGAGTGGGAGTATATAGATATCAGTATTCTAAGATTTTTAACATTTTCTTATTTCAAATTCTTCTTTTACAGGTGTCCTTCTTCACATCACTATGGAATCATCCTTTTTTCACCATTAGCTGTATCACTCTGATAGGCTTGTTCTTTGCTGGAATACACAAGAGAGTAGTTGCACCGTCAATGTATCCTTTACCACAGATTTTTATTTTCTAAACTAAGTGAAAGCACCTTCTCAATGATGTAGATGTTGTTAAAAACTTACTCTTGAAATGATATATTTTCCTTTGACCACGTTTATTCAGTATAGCAGCTCGATGTAGAACTGTATTAGCAGAGTATAATATGTCTTGTGATGATGTAAGTATTTTTCTTAGTAGAAAATTATAGATGTGTGAAAGTACTGACATGTTTAGATTTATGCAAAGCAATTATTAACTATAAAATGTCTCCTTAGAATTAATAGCGGGGTTATACCTTATACCATTGATTCTAAGACACCCCTTTTTTTTTTTTTTACATTTTAACATCTCTGAAATTGTGCATCTATCAGTGGTGTCTTATAATTAAATTAGTGGAGTTGACAGTTGAATCTTTTTTTTTTTTTAAAGATTTATTTGTTTATTTATTTATACAAGCACTGGGTACAGTCAAAAGCACGGGAGGGTGAGAGAATTCACCAGAGCTAGAGCGGGGAGCAGAGCAGGCAGAAGGACCGAAGTACACTGCTAAGGGGAGCAGTGGGCGGCAGGAGAGGTCTGCGCACCATGTGGGACCCTCCTCCGGTGGCCGGGAAGCAGCTGGGTATTGAACCGGTGCTGCAGAGGTCGCGGGCAGCTTCGTAACCCAGTGCTCAACCGCTGCGCCACCAGGGAGGCCCAGTTTAGGATCACATTGCATCTTGTAATCGAAACCATCATAGAGTCATTGAGATGCAGTGGTCCTTAATGGCTAAAAATGACTCAGTGGGTGTTGATTTTGCAAACTACTATTTTTCTGATGTTCTTCTGAATGTAGGATCTATATAGAGCCTTAGGAATGTTAAGTAGCTAATGTATCTGTGTATTATAAGGATATTGCACAGTTTTGATTGGTAGCTTCTATTTTGGTTTATCTACAGAAGATTTTTTTTTTAATTTATTTTTATTATTATTTTTTTAAAGATTTATTTATTTATTTATACAAGCACTGGGTACAGTCAGAAGCACAGGAAGGTGAGAGAATTCACAGGAGCCAGAGCAGGGAACAGAACAGGCAGAAGGACCAAAGTACACTGCTGAGGGGAGCAGCGGGCGGCAGGAGAGGTCTGCGCGCCATGTGGGACCCTCCTCCGGTGGCCGGGGAGCAGCCGGGGATAGAACCAGCACTGCAGAGGCTGCGGGCAGCTTCACAACCCAGTGCTCAACTGCTGCGCCACCGGGGAGGCCCAGTTTTCATTGTTCTTTTAAAAACCTATGTGCATGCCTCATGACCTAGCCATTCTGCTGCTTTCTGTCTGGGGGAGGGGGGTGCAGGGAGTATCATTATACATGCAGTCAAGGAGGCAATCACAAGGTTTATTGCAAAGTCTTTTGCAGTAGTGAAAAAATGGAAATATTTTCATGTTTCACAAGGAGGGAGGAGTGGATGGTAAAATAGAACACAGCACTACCTCTCAATGGGAAACCAAGAATAGATCTATCGATATAAATATGGACATGGAAGAATCTCCATGGATCATGTTAGGTGCAAAAGGTATGTTACCAAACAAAATGCTCAGTTTGGTAACATTTCAGTTTTATTTTATCTAATTAATTTTTGAAGATTTATTTATGTATGCATAGAAGAGCTGGAGTGTAGGTCAGAGGTTGGGGTTGGGGGCAGGTTAGAAGATTCATCAGAGACAGAGTGAGGGGCAGAACAGGCAGATCTAATGAAATACACTGCTGAGGGAAGCAGCAGGAGAGACAGGAAGGTCTGCGCCATGTGGATTAGCTCCCTGGCAAGGGATCGAACTCATGCTGCAGTGGCTGCGGATAGCTTCATAGTGCTGAGACTTAACCCCTTGTGCCACCAGGGAAGCCCCTATTTTTTTATTTTAAGATTTATTTATTTATGCATACAAGAACTGGGTGTAGGCAGGTGGGGGGGCCAGGATTCACCAGAGACAGAGTGGAGAGCAGAACAGGCAGATTGACTGAAGTACACTGCTGAGACGAGCAGCAGGGGAGACAGGAGAGGTTTGCGCCATGTAAATTCCCTAGAATTTAACCAAAAGTTAAGTGAAAGTGAGAACAGAGAGGTAACCAGAATCTTGACAGCTCTTTTCACTTGAGGATAGTAATAAAATATGTTCATTAAAACAACTAGAATCTTAACAACCTAAGATAATCACCTTGTTTTACATTTTGTTGTATAGTCTTACTTTTTTAACAAGAAGGATGTTATAGATTTTTCAGTTGTGCTTCTTTGACCCAGTGTTAGGATTTTAAGCCACCATTTATTGGACAGTGATCATTTGTGAGGTCCTCAATCTATTCACCCTCATTATCTCAATTAAGGCCTTTCATTTTTTTAAAATTACATATTTTCCCATTTTATGGATGCATCACAATTTAATCCCCTATTGTACATAGTTTCCATACTTCATGTTACATATGTGTTCTCTACTAAAACTTAAACTCCATGAGGACAAGGACTTCATCTAGTTTGTTATTGCACCCCTAGCTTTTCCCACAAGATCTGTTGTGTGAGAATATTAATAAACCTCATACATACCTCTTTATACTCAAATCTGGTTTCCCTCAGATAATTTTTTATTACTATTTTTTTAAAGATTTTATTTTTTATTTGTACATTAGCAGGGGTACAGGCCAAAGGCGTGGAAGGGTGAGAGGAGTCGCCAGAGACAGAGTGGGGAGCAGAACAGGCAGACAGACTGAAAGCACTGCTGAGGGGAGCAGCGAGCACGACAGGAGAGGTCTGCCCACGCCATGTGGGAATCTCCCTGGCCGGCCAGGAATCAAATCCATGCTGCAGAGGCTGCGGACAGCTTCACAGCGCTGTGCTCAACCCGTTGCATCACCGGGGTGGGCCCCAGATAAATTTTTAGAAGTGGAATTGTTTCAGTCATGAGGCATGTACTGCTTATACTGAACATCAGGATTTTTCATTGGTTTATATTTTTACTTGAGGAAATTAAAGTTTAACATTGGAAAAAATGTTTTTGCTCAAATACATAATTGTTTATGTTTTATAAATGTGGGTAAAGAACAAACTGTCCAAATTGAGATTTTATTTTTATCCAGTGGATTGACTGCTTTGCACAGGAATTCATAAAAAATAGATCATGTGTGCTTTATTTTTTTTTAAAGATTTATTTATTCATTCATACAAGAACCAGGGTACAGGCCAGATGTGGGAGGGTGAGAGGATTCACCAGAGACAGAGCAGGGAACAGAACAGGCAGACCGACAAAATACACTGCTGAGGGGAGCAGCGGGAGAGACAGGAACAGGAGACGTCCACTGCACCATGTGGGTATCTCACCAGCCAGCCGAGACCGAACCCACACTGCAGAGTCTGCGGACAGCTTCACAGCACTGCGCTCAACTGCCTGCGCCACCAGGGGAGGCCCTCGTGTGTGTTTTAAAGTAACAAAATTTAGAAGAAAGCTCCACACAAGGAAAACTTTGAAAATATAATCATAAACTGCTAAGTACAGAGAGCTGTTCTGATAGCCTATGAGTACTCTGTAAAGCATATTAGATAAGTGGTGGTGGTTTAAAGAACTGTGTACTGAACCCCCCTCCCCCCTTTTTTTTTTTTTTTCATTTTTCAGACAGGAAAACTAATTTTGAAACCCAGACCTCACGTTCAATGACAGTCTGCACTCATTGTTATGGGACCTAAAACAGCCTTTCTTCATATAAGTGGTACAGCAAAAAGCCATAAAGGATTCCTTTTACAGTTGGATATGTGAAGGTCATAGCAACAACTGACAAGAAGTGTGCAATATTTACCCAGATTATCTTGATGATGACTCGAATTACCAGTGTTTTGGTACCTCTGATGATCTGTGTTTCAGTATTAGTGTCACTTTAGTACTTCACGTCCTGCAGAGTTTTTGCAGATGAAGTATGTATGTATGTTACTAAGTTAAACTTAGAAACAGAACCTCATCCAGTTTTTATAATGTATTTTTGCAAACTACTGTAAATAGCAAATCAATGCCAATGTTAAAAGAGGGAAATGTTGTGTGGAGTGTGTTCTCCTGCACCAGTATTTCAGGCACATCTGCCTGTCATCTCCACAGCTCTCTCAAACCAGCTATTACGGATAGCTGTGCCTTTCATTCTTAACTCCTCTGTGTTCATCATAATGCAGCAAAAGCATTGGATTGAGCTTAGACTGAGGAAAGCTCATCTCCATTATGTTGTAAGAAATTATAGCTGTTTAGAGAAACAATTTTTGTTAAACCCGATAGTGAACTTCAGCCACTATTGTGATATTTTCCAGTTTCTTGTTTTCATTTAATCTAAATATACTTTTATTTTTTTAATAATTTTAAGAATACTCCAAAGGCTTCTGAAGATACCAGTTTAGTTATAAATTATGTATTGTCTGGGAATTTGATATTCATTGTTTTAGATAATTGGATTTTATGCTGTGGTAGACATGCTGTTATACTAGTATTGCACAGGTGTAACTGATCATCCTCCATCGTAAGGATAACTGGGAGCAGTGCCAGGGACTAGAGTCGACAGTTCTCACTGTTTAGAGTGTTATTGACATACTGTGTATGCATATTAGTCACATGTACTATAATAGCCCTTAAAATTAAACTATTGGAATTGTAAATATTTTAAAGAACTGGAGGTGCCTTTTACCTGTTTATTAGAAGATTTTGAAAAGGTTTAAATTATTTCATGAGCAATCTTTTAAATTTCATTTAACATACAGCTGACAATTCAATAATAGGATGAAAACTTTTTAACAAGGCTACCATTTAACTTAAATGTGTTCATTTGGCTTTCACATGTATAGAATTTTATTCTTTGAACTGCAGCAATAAAACCCTCTGGTCCTAAGAAGTCTTAAGAGGGTATTCTGTGTATTCTGCATTGTTTTATTTTCTGTAAATTTTGTAGGTAAATATGTGCATAAAAAATAAATACTTTATATATAATTAGTGATTGGGCTTTTTTCTTGATTCGTTGTAAGTCTATAACTGAAAAATTTTAAAAACGATTGTGTCAAGTACAGGATAGTTGCAAATGAGATATTTTACTTCAGCTCTGCGTCCAGTAGATCATATTTCAAATAGTAGTTGTACTTACCCAGTTTGTTAGACTATGAGTGCTTTTAATGTGCCTCATTCGTCATTGTCTGATAACATTTGGCTCATAATCAGGAAATGCAGTTTTTCTCAACTTGTGCCTTACAGACTTGGATTGCCAGTTTTCTCCAAGAGTACAAAGCTGAAGTGGGATATTATAGGTCCTTAATCCTTTTTGGAGTCATCAACTACTTGTGAGTATATAATGAAAAGGTTGGATCCTTTCCCCTAAAAAAATATGCCTGTGTATGTACATATATTTTGCATGCACTTGGTGAGAGTTTCAAAGGTTATCTGATGTCAGACTACTTGGAGACCATTGCCTCCACAAGAAAAACTTAGGTTACAGGTACAAATTTTCATAGATTGCAGCAGAACAGTTCATTTAAAAAACAAAGTCTACGCTAGTTGAAAGGTCTAAGGATCCTTGCCAGGCTAGCATTTCTTTGCCCCTCTGCACTATTAGAAAACTGTAATTGAGTGCAATCCTCTAATTTTATAGGTGGGAAAGGTTTTTCTCTTATTCCCCAAGATTTAATGAAGACAACCAACACCAGAACCCAAGTCTCTTGACTCAGGTTGAAAGGATGCTTAGGAGTGTGTACTGAACTTAATTCAAGAGCAATTATAATGTTATGGTTAAGACTAGACTCCTGCCACTGTCTGGATTCAAATCTGCAATCTGCTACTTGTAGTTTTGTAACATTACTCAAATAAGTAAACTTAGTTTCCTTGCTTATAAAATAAGCATAATGCCAATCTCTTAGGTATAGAAAGGTAGAACGCTAAGCTTCCAGCTTTATATCAAGTTAAATGTGTTCATTTGTGTAAGCATTTAAACTGATTGGCTGCAGAGTCAATGCTCAGTAAATCTAAATATGAAAAGTCAAATTGAAAAACAAACCAAAGACCTTCTTGCTAACTTAACCCAAAGGCAACACCTCAGTTGAGATAATCATTAGGAAATTCTGCTTATCTTTTGAATTAGGCAAATACCTGAATACTGGAAAGAAAAGGACTATTTGGCTCTAATGGCAAAGAAACCTAAAAGTGTTTTCTTCTTCTTGGATTATGCTCAGTGCAATAAATCAGAAGACAAAGGAAAAATACCAGATGGTTTCACTTGTAGGAGGAACATAGGGAAACCATACAAGGGATCAGGGGAAAAAAAGACAAAACCAGCAGGCAAATTGTATGTGGGGGACGTTCAGCAGGGGAGGGGAAGGAAGAGGAATCAAAACGGGAGGGGAGAGCACGGAAGTCTGAGGTGACAGTTTGTGGGTATCTTGGTGGTGGTAATTTTATGGGGACAGCACCTGAGAGGAAAAATCAAACATTGTACAAAAATGAACAACAATGTAAAAATATATCAATAAAAACAAAATCAAAAGCATGAAAACAATTTTTCCTCAAGTAACTTCACTGAAAATATTAAGGTTTGTGACTACCTGATAGTGCTTCTTTAGCAGTTTTTTTCTTCTTTAGAACTGGACTCCTAATTGACATTCTGTAGAGACTGAGCTAAGAATCCTAGCTGACAGATAGATGCTCTGCCTTCAACAACTAAAGTGGCTCTGTCGTTTCCTCTCCTGTCGAAAGCATAGAAAGTTGAGGCTCCTTCTTTCAGACTCTTAAACTTCCTATACGCTTTTACATAGGGTAAGTACAATTTCTCTTTTTTTTCCCATTAAAAATAGGGAATATAAGATATGTTTCATCATGGAGCACAAACTTCTTTAGCTCTTATTTTTAAATTTAAGTTACTTTTTACCTCAAATTTTGTCAGTCACTTGTAGCTCTATACCACGTTGGGGGCCCTTATGTGTCCATGCATCACTCACCCTCTGCCAGAACTTTCGTGCCCATATCTTATCTACCCTTCCCCTCTCCCCATTCTCTCTGATAACCCAATTTATTTTCCACAGTCTAAGATTTACTTTTGCTGTGCTTTGCCAGTTTGCGAACACAAACATTTTAAAAACTGATGTTTTTAGTGTATGATTACTATGTCTAGTGAGCGATTGTAAGTCTGATTGTGTGAAAGATAGGAAATAACAGCTATGACCTGAAAGTTTAAGGTGCACTATTCATCACCTTTGTAGACTACGCTTTACGTGGCAGGTGCTGTACCAGGTATTAAAAATGTGTGAGGAAGAATGTTTGCCCTCTCAGAACTTGTCTACTGAGGAATACAGATGGTTGATCAAGCCGTCAGCGTGTGATGAGGTACTGTGAAGGCGTAGGTGTGGGGTTCTGAAGAATCCCACAGAAAGCCGTCCAATCCATGTAAGACTTTCTTAGTCAATCTTACGTAGTTAGTTCCTAAGAGATCTTCAGTGTCCCTGGCAGGGTTGAGAGCCCAGGGGCAGTTCCTGATTGTGGCTGGTATCAATAGGGAAAGAGGGATGAGGCTCAAGGTAGGAACCAAGAGTTGGGAGTTTTGTGAGGGTAGTGACTTAATGGGATTTGACTGACTATGGTGTGAACTGAAGAGACAGGACCTGGGAGGCAGTGGGGAACCGCCACCGTAGTCCAGGTAAGATGGTGCCAGCTGCTGTGCTAACATTCAGGTAGTAGAACCAGAGAAGAGTTTCCGTTTTTATTGAAGTAATGCCGCTTTGCAAACTGTAGATTTCAGCTGCATGATGTAGTTTCTCACCTCAGCAACTGTATCACACCATGTTCACCACCAACCAGTCTCCCCCTTCCCCACTTGCTCTGCCTGCTCCCTTCCCCTCTGGTAACCCATTCTGTTGTCAGAGAAGAGCTTTTGGGAGTCATATGAGTGGCACTTAATGGGGAGCCAAGAAATAGGAGCATAAAGACCACTACTACCACCACCTTTTCCATCCTGTATAATCTCTTCAATAGGAAGAAATAAAGGGTCCAGGATCAGCAATGCTTGGGAACTATTATATCCCCCTCTTCAAGATTCCCTATGCCCCACAGCATACAAAAACTCAAAGTGATACTGCAATAAAGGAACTTGTTTCTGTTTCCTTACTGTGCTGAGCAATACTTAACAATATGCATTGTGTGTATTTGGGTATTTGTCATGGTTTCTGTCTACCCAGCTCTTTTTGGGTACATCTGCTAAGGAATGCCAACCAAATCAGTCTGGCTTCTTCTAGATCAATCCAGAAAGTGTCCCTGATTCCTTTGCATTTGGAGTGTGTGTGGCGGGAGGTAGAGAGGCTGTTTCTGTTCAGTGGCAGGGTGCTTAGTGCTCGATGGTGGCAGCAGTCTTGTCAGCCCAGTTAAAGGGCCTGGGTTTAGGCATTTTTTTTTCTGACAGTTTAGCCTTGAACTGGTCTCTGGACCTCCCAGATAATTCTGTGAAGTACCCATATCCTTTTAATAGTCTGTTCTTTTTAATCAGCCAAAGTCAGTATCTCTTAGTTGCAGTTAAAACTCTGACTGATGGAATATTACACCTGAGTCGAAGGAGCACATTTTGAAGAACTCCTACCTGTGAAAGGGACCAGGGTGCTGCTTCCAGCCAGCGTGAGGTTATCTGCCCTCAGCCTTTGTGTAGTGGACCTCAGCCTGTGTGTAGTGGAAGAGCCCAGGCTGGCAGATCATAGATTCCATTATAGTCCTGGGTCCATTAGCTGCTTGAGCAAGTTACTGATTCTCATTGAACCTTACTTTCCTCACTTGGGCCTGTACTCAGCTCTCTTGCAGAATTGTTTTAAACACACACACATAAATACACACACACACACACCACATACACACACACATCTGCCTTATGGAAATTTCTTATTTACTGTTTGTTTGAATGAATAAATGAATCTTGACTTTTGTATTGAAATTGGGTTCGGACATAAATACACTAAATCAAATTTTCTTACGTAGTTTTGGGCAAGGTTCATAAAATAGAAAGCTAAATGCTAAGCTCTGTAAGCAACAGGGAGATTAAAACTAAGTAATTTGTTTGTAAGCAAATCAAGAGAAGTATATCTGTGTTAGAAGTGGATTTTTAAATTTTAAGTCTTATGCAATTATCAGTATTATTTTTCCTGCTCTAACCTAAAAACCATTAAAAAAAACAACATTGTTACCATGAAAAGTTTTTAACGTGTAAAAGTAGAGAGAACACCCATCTATCACCCATCTGCAATAGTTAGAAACAGGGACATAACCAATCTTCTGTGCACCCTATTTCTTCCTTCCTCACCCTACACAAAGGATTATTTTGTGTTTTTTTGTTTTTTTATTTATTCATGTATACAAGAACCAGGGTACAGGCAGATGTGCGGGAGGGTGAGAGGATTCACCAGAGACAGAACGGGGAACAGAACAGGCAGACTGATGGAAATACACTGCTGAGGGGAGCAGAGGAAGAGACAGGAGAGGTCTGCCATGCCATGTGGGTATCTTCCCCGGCCTGCCAGGATTGAACCCGGCTGCAGAGGCTGCGGACAGCCTCACAGCTGTACTCAACCGCCTGTGCCACCAGGGAGGCCCCACACAAAGGATTATTTTGAAGTAAATATCAAGTATTTCCTCTGTAAATATTCCAGTAAATATCTCCAAAAGATAAGGACTCTTAACAAATACTACTATCACCACCCCCCCAAAAAAAAACCCAGTAATTTCATACCACCAAATATTTAGCTCAAACTTCCCTCATTTGGAAAAACACTAGGGCCTGGGGGAAGGGTTTGTAGAATCCCTATTTCCAGATTTTACCTGTTTATATCTGTGGACACAAGCATATGAATACTTTTTCAATAAATAATGTAGAGCATTGTCATGTGAGCACTACAACTGTCTTTTCAAATATTAACAACACACAAAAATGTGGAATGTAATACAAAAGCACAATGAAAGTTCAGATGAGAGCAGGAGGATTAGAGGGAGAGAGATGCCAGGGAAGAAATTGGAATGTATATGTTCGAATGTATGGAAGATATCAAATATTTTTGGCACATGGAAGAAAAATAATGACTGTTGGGAAACCAGGATTATGAAAAAAAAGCAATTATTAACTCCAAGAAAAATACAAGGTTGCCCAAGAAACCAAGAACTGCCTTCAGAGAATTTCGTGGTCCAGTATATATTTGCGTTATCCTAGTAACTTACCCAGACTTCTGATTTAATCAGAATTATGGCATCATTTTCTTAGGTAAAGGTGAAATGAAGGAAACCTGGTCCTTACCCACCAGGACAAAAAGTCAAGAGAGAATGTATGATAATGACAAATTGGAAAGAGCAGTAGCTTATTGTGTGGAAATATGGAGATAAGAATTGAATGTGTTTACTTCCTAGAGGCTTGGAATTGGGAGAGTAAGGCAAGAGAATGCTGCTCTTCCTTTTATGATGTCCAGGTTGTGTATGCACATCAAGTATTCTTTGCAGTGAGGAAGCTAAATAATGTGTTTGCTAGATACAGTTCATTTCACCAGTGGAGAAACAGGAATAGAGAGATACTGCCTAGTTTGGGATCCCTTGCTCTGCTGTTATATTTATTTTCAGTGTTCCTCTCTTTACCTAGTATTGCCCATTAAAACTTTGATTTCTTTACTAGCTCTTCAGGAAATATCAGCAAGTGCAGAAGTAGGCAGTGTGTTGCAGTTATTACAAGCCCACTCAGGTCTGACTTGTGCAAGGTCAGTCCTCTCTGTCTTTTACAGGTTACCTGCTGTTATGCAAGTAGTTTGTCTTCTCAGTGCCCCAGCCACTGGTCTTGGGCAGCTATTTTCCAATATCTATCACTAGATTAATCATTTCTAAAGTTTCATGTAAATGAAATAATACAATTATGTAGTATAGTAATGCTTACATGTGCCTTTTTTGCCTCAACATAGCTTTCAGCTTTTATTTGTGTTAATATATATACCCTTAATTCATTCTTCTTCTTTTTTGTTTCTCCATTTACTTGTTGCTGGGCATTTGAGTTGTTTCCAGTCTGAGGCTATTATTAATAAAGTTTCTATGAATATTCTTACATAAGTCTGTGGATACATTTACTTTTCTTGGGGATACCTCAGCATATAATTGCAGGGTCATAGATTGGGTCTATGCAACTTTTATATATAAGAAACGGCCACACTTTTCCAAAGTGGTTTCCACATTTTACATTCCCACCAGCAATGTTTGAGAGTTCCTGTTACTATATACCAACTAAAATAAGGAAGACTGACAATACTGGTTTTGGTGAGGTTGTGGAATAACTGGTTGTGTTGATATTTTTATAAATAAGATGACCTGAAAATGTTTTCCTACTCTGATCATAACCATTTGAGTTTTGTTACTTTCCAAAGGTTGGGTGGTTCGATGGGATTTAGGACAGTCCATATTAGTATTTAACCCCACCAAGTACAAATGATTTCTAACCTTGTATTTTAAAATGTTTATTTTAGTCAAACAGCCAACGAGGCAGGCGGTAGTTCTCAAAGATGCTAATATCCTGGCTATACAAAATCAGTCTGGCTTATTTCAAACAATGACCACTAGATGCTAACTTCCTTTTTTAAAAAACCTTTAAAAATATTCCCCATTTGAGGAAATTTTTAACCTGCTGCTACAAAATAAATAATCGAAAGGCTTCATCAGCAATTGGTGTATTTTTTTTTTACTCTTTCTGTTGGTTTTATAAGTGAAATGACAGCTTTAAATGTGATCTTTTTATAGAGAGGCTGTATCTTTTGCAAATAAAATGTATCAGGAACATGGTTCTTCAGAGTTTACATATAACTTTGCAAGTTTTATCACATTTGATACGTTTCCTAAAGTCAATTTGTAAATTATTTATACTATTTGAGAAGAATAAAATCAGCTGTCAGTCATTTAAAAAATGTCCTAATTTGAAAATTTGACAGCTTCTAATTTTGATTTGGTAAGGAAGGCAATGCAGAAGCAGCAATGAGTAGTGCTCATAGTTATTTATAAAATACTGAAGTGATATTAGCCCAATGCTAATAAATAAATAAAATAAAAGAAGTGCTGAAGTAGAATAGTGATTGTTGGATGACCTAAAGCTAGTCCTAACATGCTCAGTTAAAACCAGATGGGGGTCTCACTCATAGCAGGAATTTAAAAAACCTAAATAAGAGACCAGGAAAAAGACTAATCAATACAAAGTAAAAATCAAAATCAACAAGCAACTATAAACCAGAGATACACTATTGGGGGTGTGGGAGGGAGGGAGGGGCGGGGAAAGGAAGGACTAGAGTCAAAATAATGGGGGGGGCTGTGCAGTTGTATGGGGAATATAACCAAAATGAAAATGCATACATTGTGCAAAGATGAAAAAAAAGTAAGAATTATATAAAATAAAATATTTAAAATTAAAAAAAAAAACATGATGGGAATGTGCCATCTTTTCACTGGAGAGTTAGAAGTACTTAGACTGAGTGAGTCCACTGAGAGCTGAGCAAAGGGGGTAAGAAACTGCCAATAGGGAGGAAATGCTGCCCACCTGGGAGCAAAAAAATTAATATGCTGTGTTTAATGGGTCTATTCAAAAAAATTATTATATTTCAAAGTGGAATATTTTACAAGAGTGTTACAAATGTAAGATGATTTTTTTTTTTAAAGATTTATTTATTTATGCATACATACAAGAACCCGGGTATAGGCCAAATGTACGGGAGGGTGAGAGGATTCACCAGAGACAGAGTGGGGAACACAACAGGCAGACTGACGAAATACACTGCTGAGGGGAGCAGCGGGCTCAACAGGAGAGGTCTACCGTGTCATGTGTGACCCAGCCTGCTGGCTGGGATCAAACTGGTGCTGCAGAGGCTGTGGACAGCTTCACAGTGCTGTGCTCAACCACCTGCGCCACCAGGGGAGGCCGCAAATGTAAGATGATTTTACTACATGAAATTCTTGTGCTACAGCTAACCTGGGAACAACATCCAGTGATACTCAGATTAATGACATTGATATAAACAAAAAGTCCCAAGTGCTGTTCCAGATCAGAAGTCCTGGGAGGAGCCCTGAATCTTACAACAGAGACTTCTCAGCACCGAGGGTGACCCTCTGACCAGTTATCAGTGGGTGTGGGGTAACAGGAAAGGATGAGGACCTCACAGCAAGGGGGATTGGAAAATTATATTGCATTTCTTTTGTTTTCATGGTCTTAAAAAATTGCAAATACAACCTGTTCATTCTAGACATCCTCCAAAATAAAACAGACCAAAACTAATTAAAAAAAAACCTAATTCCACCCAGAGGCAAAAAACAGTGGATACCTTGGTATATATGCTTTTGTAGGTATTTTTAGTGTATTTCCAAAGATGGGATTATACTATTGGGTTATTGGAAAAGTCATGATATTTTTTTCTGTATTTCAAGCAATAATGCATCATGGCTTTTCTGACAACCCAAATATATATGCTGCTTTTGTAAGCTGTCTTTTTACTTCATACTACCTGATGAACATCTTTCTTTCCCTATGAATAAACACTGTCAAAGAAGGTTTTCAACAAGTTATTTGACTCAAACATAGTGAGCATGTGTCATGTTTCTTAATGAAGGAATCAAGAGAATAGATAAGTATATAGTCAACGAGAAAAATATACTTAGATAAGATTGCTGTGTTAGATTTGAAACTAGTTAGTGTTCTACAAGACAATGAAATTGTATTTTTTTAATTGTTTTTAACTGGACCGAAAAAAATACAGATTTCATATTTACTGAACAAATCATTTGCAATTTATTAGTATACAAATTACTATCTAACTAGATTCTAGCCCCACAAGTTAATAGTTAAACAAAAGTACATTGTTTCAGTGTAGTGATTCTCAACTGAAGGCAACTTTGCAGCCTAGGGGACATTGAAGATATGTTTGGTTGTTGTAACTGGGGGTGTAACTGGCATCTAATGGGTAAAGACCAGGGATGCTACTAAACCTCCTACAATCCACAGGACAGCCCCCCCCCCCCCGCCACAAAGAACTATCTACCCCAAATGTCAATTGTACCTACATCTACCTACTAGATGCTAATGACAACTGCAAAGTTGTGACAAGCAAAACATCTGCAGACAGGACCAAGTGTCCTCTGAGGGGAAAAGTATTTCCAGTTCAGAACCACTGTTTCACTGTACAAAATGTAGCCACTAGCTGCATGCATCTACCTAGATTGATGGATTAAAATGGAAAATTGAGTTCCTCAGTCACACTAGCCACATTTCAGGTACTCAGTGGTCATGTATGGCTAGTGGCTACTGCACCAGACAGTGTTTTCATCATTGTAGAAAAGTATGTTGGACAGCACTGCCCTAGAGAAATAATACTTCGGTGGGCCTGTTAGACATTGGACTAATAAAACAGTGAAAAAATATGCATTCATCCTTTTATGTCCAACTTTTATTTCTTAATATGCTTCCACAGAAACTTTAGCATAAAGTTCCAAGGCTAGCTATAGTGTAACCCCATGACATCAGGGGTGGGTCTTAGTCCCCACTGCAGAACCTGACACATTGTAAACTTAACAGTAGATTTGTTTGAATGATGTGGGATTTCTGATGGGCAGGAGATCACTTTACAATGACTTTCTGGTTTGGCTATCAGCAATTACCCTATATCATCACATACTTTAGGAAGTTTTTTTTTGTTTTAGATAAAGATTGATTTATTTATGCATACAAGAGCTGGGGTACAGGCCAGAAATGCGGGGGGTGAAAGGATTCACCAGAGACAGTGGGGAACAGAACAAGCAGACTCACTGAAATACGCTGCTGAGGGGAGCAGCAAGCGAGTCAGGAGAGGTCTGCTGCGCCATGTGGGTTGCTCCCTGGCTGGCCGGGGATCAAACTCGTGCTGCAGAGGCTGCAGATTGCTTCATGGTGAGTTGCTTAACCCCTGCACCACCAGGGAGGCCCTATACTTTAGGAAGTTTTGAGGAACAAATTGGAGATCAGCAGCAAGACTGCCTATGTCTGGCTCTGACATCTGCTCAGGAAGCACTCCATGTTTGGTTTTCCTTCAAGAAGGCCTTTCTTGAAATAATATGGTTCACAATTCTCTGGTATGTCATAACCCTTTAAAGAGTCTTAGTAAATGAAGAAACCGAGGGTTAGAAAAGGAAATCGACCCTTCCTTTGATTAGTCTGTTAAAGTGGCGAATCTGGATCTAGAGACTGGGTTTCTGTCTGCATACTTACCAGCAGTAACATTCTTCTTGATGACTACTAAGTTACTTTCTGGAGGGCCAGCTGAGGCAGAGAGCAGTAACCATGTAAAGGCAGTGGACATCTCAGGGACTTTAATTCAGCCAAGTGTCAGATATGGGAATACAGAGACTGGGGAGGGCCCCTGCCCTCCAAGGAGCTCACAGGCCAGTGGGGCAGCACTCATGCTTTTGATGACAACCTGTGGACAATTGTAAGAGAAGAATAGGGTACACACAGTACAAGGTGGCCAAGGGTGGAGTGACCGGCAGGGCAGGTGGGAGGATGAAGACAACAGGCCAGGCCCAATGAATCAGCCATCTTTTGGTTTATATTTCTATATGTGGCAGGAAAATAGAAAATATTGACCCCAGGGTGCACTGTGGAACCGTGCTGAGCTTGCCCCGAAGGCCTAATTAAAGCTGAGGGAATTTCTGGGGAGACTCAAATTCCTGGGTAAGAGAGGAGATGGAAGCATTTGGTGACCACATAGGTAACTTATGTAAAACTCTGAGCCTGATTGTACCCGGTTCAGTCATGAACCTGCATGGGACTGTCAGTTTGTAAGAAATAACTGTCAGTTTGTAAGAAATAATCAGAATGTGTTTTAGGAATACGCTCTCCCTACAAATATTAAGGGGGAAAAATAGGATTTTGGGAGAGCAACTAGCACCTATTTAAAATGAAATTTGTCCAGCCAATAGTTGGTTAGAAGCATTTTTATGTGAAGAGGCCTGTAAACAGTCTAATTAAAAAATTTCCTCTTGGGCCTCCCCTGGTGGCGCAGCGGTTGAATGCTGGGCTGCGAAGTTGCCTGCAGCCTCTGCAGCTCCAGTTCAATCCCCGGCCCCTGGGTGAGGGTCCCACATGGAGCGCAGACCTCTCCTGCCACCGGCTGCTCCCCTCAGCAGTGTACTTCGTCTGTTCTGCTCTCCGCTCTGGCTGTTCTGCTCTCCACTCTGGGTCTGGTGAATTCTCTCACCCTCCCGCACTTCTGACTGTACCCAGTGCGTGTATAAATAAATAAATAAATAAGTAAATAAATAAATCTTTAAAAAATATATATATATAAAATACAGTGATGTGTGAAAACATAATCTTATCCTCATGGGCTTAAGTGTATGAGGATATGTATGAGTATTGTATGTAACTACACAAATTTAAATTATTAACTAATTTCAAGCTGAAAGGAACAGTACACATGCTGCCTCAAAGGGAAATTTCTTTCACTTTGAAATCAGAGGAGGTATCTGTGAAGAGGTGACACTTGCCTTCCCCAGGCATGGGTGGGGTCTGGGCCTTATTTAAAGTCCTGAGGCAATAGAATATTTGACCCTATGGAGAATGGCTGAAGGACAGGGTGCAAGACAAATGGGAGATGAAGCTAGAGACTGGGATGAGACCTTACAGCTTGTTAAGATTTTGATCTTTGGGGCCTCCCTGGGGTTAAAGGCACAGGGGTTAAAGTCTCAGCTCTATCGCCAGCCACTGCAGCCTGAGTTTGATATCTGGCCAGGAGTCTAACCCACATGGCACAGCAGACCTCTCCTGTCTCGCCTGCTGCTCCCCTCAGCAGTGTGTTTCAGTAGATCTGCTTGTTCTGCTCCCCACTCTGTCTCTAGTGAATCCTCTTACCCCTCACATCTCTGGCCTACACCCCAGTTTCTTGTATGCATAAATAAATTTTTTTAAAAGTAAATATTAAAAAAGATTTTAATCTTTGTCCTAAGAGAAAGGGATGCTGTTGAAATATTTTAAGCAAGGGAGTGGATATGAGAAAGTTGGTGGGATATTCATTTTGAAAAAAGAAAAAAATCACTAGCTACTCAATGGGTGGGCAGGGTGAAAAAGAGAGGCTAGAAGGCCATATGGTCAAGACCAAAGATTGGAGTAGCTTGATCTGTGGAGGTGGCAGAGATCAGTGACCAGAGATCTAGGAAATAAAGCCTACCAACCAATCCGGCTCCAAGTTTTCCTTGTACATAAAGTTGGTAAGTCCAAGTTTCTTCACAACTTTAACCTATACGTCTGCGGTTATTTTCCAGAATACACTACAGTAATGAATGTCATTTCCCTTACTAGACAGTTCACTCCCTGGGGGTAGGGTGGATGGAACTTTTCTCTCATACAGTGTTGATCTGAAAGCTATACATTTATTGGATGCTCAATAAACACGTGTAGTTTTATAAAGACTACCAAGATTCTGTAAGTGTAAGTTTCCTTCTTTCTTGGCACTCATCATATATTTAACATCTCTTACAGGACAGTAAACTCCATAAGGATAAGAACAGGGACTAAATCTGTCTTGGTAGTTATTCCATACTAGTGCCCAGCACTGTACATGGCGCTCTGTTGCTATTTGTGAAACAATCCTTTCGTCAATTGCTAAATAAAAATTTTATTTTTTTTTAAAAGATTTATTTATGCATGCAAGAACTGGGGTACAGCCAGAGGTGTGTGTGGGGGTGTGTGTGTGAGAGGATTCACCAGAGACAGAGTGGGGAACAGAACAGGCAGACTGACTGGAATACACTGCTGAGGGGAGCAGCAGGCGAGTCAGGAGGTCTGCTGTGCCATGTGGGTAGCTCCCTGGCCGACCGGGGATCGAACTCTTGCTGCAGAGGCTGCGGAAAGCTTCATTGGTTGCATCTTAACCCCTTGTGCCACCAGGGAGGCCCTAAATAAAAAATTTCAACCAAACATTTCTATAGTCCTTCATATGTGCCAGTGTCCGTTCTGAGCACCTTAACCACGTTCACACACTTAACCCTTATAACAAATCACTGATGAGAAAATTGAGGCAGGGAGCTTAAGCAACTTATTAAGGGAGTCTGTCTTGTCAAACACAGACGTATATTCATTCCAAGACGTTAACCGGGTTTTGTCTGACCGGAGCTGTGTCAGGCGCCGCGGACCCAAAGTAAACCAGCGGTTGATATTTGGGAGGCCCAGTTTTAATTGAGCCTCACACTGTTCGCAAGTGAAGTATCAGCAATCCCATCTGACTGTTATGGAGATAGAGTTTCGGCGAAAGTCAGTAACAATGCACTAGCTGATGGGTGACTCAAGGTATTTTCATTCAAGTCCGGCTGCTTAAATCTCGGGCAGACGCGCAGACCGCGCCCCTCCGCCAGGCCCGGCCCCGCCCCGGCCCCGCCCCGCCCCGCCCGCCCGCCCCCTGTGCGCCTGCGCACTCGCCGCGCCAGCCCCTCCGCCCGCGGCCGGCACGCCTCGCGCCTGCGCACTGCTGCCCATGTGCGCCCCGGCCGTCAGCGGGCCCAGCTGAGCGGCGGCTCGGAGCCTCCTCGCTGACAGGACCCTGGCGCCGGTGCCGCAGCCCCGGCGTCCTGCCGCTGCGCGCCTTTCTCGGTTTTCCTCACCAGCGCGTATCGCCATGGGCAAGAGCCGGACGAAGCGCTTTAAGCGACCTCAGTTCTCCCCCACCGGTGACTGTCAGGCCGAGGCGGCGGCGGCGAACGGGACGGGGCAGGGGGACGACGACGGGCCGGCGGCGGAGCTGCTGGAGAAGGTGAGGCGCGGGCTCCCCGGGCCTCCCGCCGCCCCCCGCGCGCCCGCGCGCCCGCGCCTGCGCCCTGCCCTCCTGACGCTTGCTCTGTCCCGCAGCTCCAGCACCCGAGCGCCGAGGTCCGCGAGTGCGCCTGCGCGGGGCTGGCCCGGCTGGTGCAGCAGCGACCCGCGCTCCCCGGCTTGGCGCGCCGCGACGCCGTGCGCCGCCTCGGGCCGCTGCTGCTCGACCCCAGCCTGGCGGTGAGGGAGACGGCGGCCGGCGCGCTGAGGTGAGCGGGGCGGGGCCAGGCGGCGTGGCGGGGCCCGGTTCTTGGTCCGGGTCGGGAGGGCGGAGAACGGCACGGGGACCCCGTCGGTCGAGGGGGGCTTGAGCCCAGGCTCCGGAAGCCCAGGACCCCAAGCCGGACGCGTTGTGCGTGTCCGCCCGCAGCCACCTGCCAGGGGCCTCCCGTCAGGGTCCGGTGCACATCGCACCCTCCCCAAGAACCCCCCGGGGAGTCCCGAGGTTCGGCGTGCGGTCTGTGTCAGGTGCTGTGGGAGCAGGGGGTTTGAGCAGGCAGGACGTGGAGCGAGACGGCCAGGATCCCTGCCTTCCCGGGACCCATGGTGAGGAGACAGACAGGAAGCTGTAAACAGGTAAAACTGAAAATGGGAGACAGAAGTACTGTGAGGAAAACCAAGAGTGGTGAGTCGGGAAGTTATTTTAAAATGGGTGAGCTGTAGGTGACATTTGTGAAACCTGCCCGGTGAGAGAGGCAGGCCTGGAAACACGGAGTGTTCCTGCGGGAATAGCTCCTGCAAAGACGTGAGGCAGCAGAAGGCTTGGCAGGGTTAAAGACACAAGAGTGAGACCGAGTAGCAAGGAAAGCATGTAGAGAGCAGAGAATTGGGCGGTGGCGTGGGCTGAAGGATGCGCTGTAAACAGGAGGGACATCATCTGATCTCCGTCGTGACAAGGCCACGCGGGTGGCTGTGCAAAGAATGAACTGTAGAGGGGGCAAGAATGGAAGTTAGCCTTTATAGTTCTCGCTGCTTTGGCTATATTTTTTAGGTTTCATTCATTGATACAGCAAATACATAAGTGCCTGACAGTGAGGTACTAAGCAAAACAGACATAATTTTTGTCCTTAATGGGTCTTACAGACTATCGAGAGAGAGGGGTATTAACCAAGTAATCACACATACATATAATTACAACCAATAGTAATTACAAAGGATACTCAGAGGGTCAGGGAAGAAAACCCTAAGGGAGTCATGCTTGAGGTGAGAACTGAGGGATGGGTAGGGGATTAACCACTTGATGGCAGTTATCTGCATCTGATTTCTCTTCATAGCCTCAGTGCCTAGAATAGCAGTGCACACTTAGGCATCATACACTGTCTTTCCAATTAAAACTCAGTTTATCCAGGTTGCTTCAGGGAGTCTCATTCTCGGTAACCTGACCCGTGCCATCCTTGAAGTCTTGATATCATGAAAAGGTCCATTCATATAAGTCAAGTTGTGATTTTTTTACATTAAATAGGAAACGTCTTTTCTCCTCTCTCCTATAGCCTGTAGCCATGCACCTGCATAGTCTCTTCCTCTACTGAGTTTTTACATGACAGCTATTTATTCACATTGTATAGAACCCGGGTAGCTCTGCATTTGTTCCGCATCATCTTGCAGAAACAATCAGTAGTTTCATCCAGGAAGCCTTAAATATTGTTAGGAATAGAAATAAACTTGAGGACTCAAGTGTTTCGTTCCATGAAACTTACCTTTTTAACTTCTTGTGTAGAAATCTCAGTGCTTGTGGAGGTTTTGAAGTTTGCGATGACATGGTGACTAAGGATATCATGACTCCTCTGGTTGCACTGCTGAAAGAGGTAAGTGGCGGGCCTCCCCGGTGGCGCAGCGGTTGAGCGCTGGGTTGCGAAGCTGCCCGCGGCCTCTGCAGCGCCGGTTCGATCCCCGGCTGCTCCCCGGCCACCAGAGGAGGGTCCCACATGGCGTTCAGACCTCTCCTGCCCCCCGCTGCTCCCCTCAGCAGTGTACTTCGGTCCTTCTGCCTGCTCTGCTCCCCGCTCTGGCTCTGGTGAATTCTCTCACCCTCCCGAACTTCTGACTGTACCCAGTGCATGTATAAACAAAACAAACAAACAAATAAATAAATAAATAAAACATGTCTCTAAAAAGAAAAAAAAAAGAAAGAGGTAAGTGGCTGTGAAAGTCTCTTCAGGGCTGTTTTTATTTTTATTTATTTATTTTTTTTTATAGAGGCATGTTTTATTTATTTGTTTGTTTGTTTTGTTTATACATGCACTGGGTACAGTCAGAAGAGTGGGAGGTGAGAGAATTCACGGGGGTGGGGGGGGGGGGGGGCGTGTGCCGGTGCCGAGAGGCAGAAGGACCGACGTACTCTGCTGAGGGGAGCAGCGGGCGGCAGGAGAGGTCTGTGCGCCATGTGGGACCCTCCTCCCGTGTGCCAGGGAGCAGCCGGGGATCCAACCGGCGCCGCAGAGGCTGCGGGCAGCCTCGCAACCCAGCGCTCAACCGCTGCGCCACCGGGGAGGTCCCAGGGCTGTTTTTAAATGTAGCTTTTAGTATATACAAACTAGGGTAGTTTTGTCTTGTGTATTTTTTTTTTTTTTTTAGTACTTTGGTGTTCTTTGTGTTCTCTCAGAGTATCCTATGAGAATTTTCTTTCTTTTCCTAGAAACGCTGACCTTTCACCTTTGATACCAGTGTCTGTTATTTTGTCCCTACAAACTTTGTTTATATGCTGGTTGGAAAAGACTTCCTAAAACTGTATATGGACTCCTTTATTAGACTCTGAGCTTCATACCATCAAAATAACTAGCATTGATTGTTTGTGTACCATATGATGCTTTGTGTTTTGTGTATCATTTCATTTAATCCTCATAGCAGTCCCATGTGGTAGGTGTTATCACTGTCATTTTACAGATGAGGAAACTGAGGCACAGACATTAGCAATTTCTGGGAAGATGACATTAAGTTCTCAAATTTAATTTCATGCCAGCCTTATTGTATGATATAGTTCATGGGTTGAGGAGCCCTAGGTCTCTCTTACATGCCAAGATCCCTGCCTTTACAGAACCCATGTTGAAGAGAAGAAAGACAGGAAACTATAAACAGGTAAAACAGATAATAATCGACAGTGAGAAGTACTGTGAAGAAAACCTTTGGTCCACTGTTCTGTATTGATGGGCTTTCTAAAGAACATCTAGTTTTGGTGAAAAACATGTCTTGTTCTATTTAAAGCAGTGTTTCTCGTCTGGGGGTCATTGTCCTATAGGGGACATTTGGCAAAGTCTGGAGCCCATTTTTGATTGTCACAGCTTAGGTGGAAGGGTTGCTAGTGGCATGTAGTGGGTAAAGGCCAGGAATCCTACAGTGCACATCACAGCCCTCACAACAGAGAACCATCCGGTCCAAGGTATCAGTAGTGCCTGGGCTGAGAGAAGCCTGCTTTAGAGTGGGCAGGGGATTATGCAGAGAAGCAGAACTGCAGGGTGCTTCAGAGCCCAGATGCTAGCACAAGAATACCTCCATCTGAATCCCAGCTTCACCGTGCACTAAGCTACACCTTCAGCCATCTCCTTGTTCTTCAGTATCTTATTTATTGGGGGTGGCTGGGGATAATAGATCATGTGCTTCACAAGTGTGTGGTGAGGATTCAGTGACTTAATGTATATAAAGTGCTTAGAATAGTGCCTTGTACCCAGAAGGCACCATTAGTTTTATTATGTGTTATTACCTTTCTTTGCCATATTTACTCTCTCTGCCACATTAGGTAAAATACCTTGTATTAATTTTATATTTTCATTGAAAATGTGGAATGTTTTATATCCAGTTTGCAAAATGACTTGTGAACTTTCTTGTCTGTATTTCTTGTCAAAGGGAGCTGGGTTGTGCTTATGAGAATTTGGCTCGTTAACCACTGTAATTTCTGATGTTTAGTTTCTGATTCTTCACTATCATTAGCCTTTTTGTTTAATTATTCTTTTGAACTAGGGTGCTAATCATGATATTTGGTTACAGTGTGGTGCTGGACTGGATTCAAATGAGATGTCTCCACAGGAAAAAAAAGATCAAAACAGAAATTCTATTGAGACCATAGCCAATGAGGCTGTGAACGTGCTGTGGAATATATGGTAAGATGCTTTCCAAACACAGCTGCCTAGTGACTCTCAGGCTGCCGCTTTCTGTTAAACTGCAGAGAACTCTTTTGTTCTTGTGGTAGATTTGCAAATCCTTGATGTAATACATGCTTGGGAGGAGGTAGCCTCGGGTGACCTAAGATCAACCTTGCTTCCCAAGCCTTTTTCCTCATAGCATTTCCTACATCTTTTTTGCTTTTAAACCTCTTCTCTCCAGTCATTGCTATGGACAGAAAAAAAGGAATCATGAGCTGCAACCCCTGCTGCACCTCCTCTGTCCCCTACCACTTGTATACCTGATGCAGCAGCTGTCTTAAAAACTTAGCCAGCCCCTGGTGTAATAATGCTTTGATCTGGTCTCTGGAATGAGACAGAATCACAGAGCTTGACCTGTGCTCTCTCCTCTACCTTGGCAGTTCACATTTGGCCATGCCCTGTTCCATGGTCAGAGCAGTGGAAAGGTGGGGTGGACTTGTTAGAAATGGAAATGGCTAGAAATAACCCTCTGGATTTATTTTTTCATAACCCATTTTATGTGCCATATTTCTACCAGGATTCTTTCATAGTTCCTTATTTTCAGTTAACAGTGAATAATTTCAGACCTAAAAGCACAGGTCTTTCTTAGATTAAGTTGGAGCCTACATAGCAATCCAGACTTGCCTATGATTCCATTTCTAGTGGATGTATTCCACCATAAAAATTGGAGAGATCATATTTGAGGAAATGCCATTTGAGCAAGCTGGTAGGTGCTATTTTTCTATGCAGCAGCTTGAACTTAATGTAAATTGTTCAACTTGGGAATTAAAAGAAATTTCTTTGAGAGATTAAATGTAGCCCCAAAGTGATCTCTTTCTCGTGAATGCTTGTAAGCCCTATCTGTATCATATCCAATTGTCATAGCTCTTAGCATTGTTTTTACAGTTTAAATTTTCAATTATATTTACACACACATATTTTTTGAATTATCTAAACACATTATTTCATCTTCCTGACTATACTCTGGGCTTCTTGAGGGTAAGCTGATACTAGTGTTGCAATAGCTAAACAGAAAATAGTTTAGCTAATAGGATTATGTTTGTTAATTTAGTAGCTCTGTTAGCTATAAATGTGTCATGTGATATGTGGTATATATGGAAGACTACTTTTCTTTGGAAACAGATAAAATCGTTGTAATTAGTTCTTTGGAAACAGGGATAGAATTATTATAATTAGCTGTTTACCCTGTATTTAGTATGCATGTTTATTAATAACCTTGATAAGATTAATAACATAGATTCTATTCTTTTATTAAAGACAGTAAAATTTAAAAAATACTTTAGTAATTTCTCTGTTGCATACTGTAAATGCTGCTTGATGGTATAATAATCTAGAAGGGATGATCCAAATTAATTTAATTTAAATTTAAATTTGTGCTTCTTATATAACACATGGAGGCCTTTTACCCCTGTTTCGTTATGACGTGGTAGAGTGGAAAGAACAGTAGACTGGACCCAAGGAAGCCAGGTGGTGGGCTCAGCTCTTCCACTGGCAAAATGTGTGGCCTTTGGATAAATCTCTGCACCTTTGGGGCCATGGGTTTCTCATCTATAAAATGGGGAGTTGAAGTCAAGATTCTTAAGATTTCTTTTAGCTCTAACCATAGGAAATCAGCATACCATAAGGTAAACACATTGGCTTAAAGGTCACCAAGATGGGATTAAAAATATAGATAGCCAGTTTTTTTCATGTACACTTGGTTTCTTTGTTTAAGAAAGCGGCAGGTGTTTGACTCAAAGTCTTTGGTTATTTTATAAAGCTTACTTTAATATTTTATGAATTTCTGTGGTTGATTTCTTAATGTCAAAATGTGAATAGTAAAACTTTTTTTTCCCCCTTCAATTTAGTGAATGCAGTAGTAGAGCGGTATCTATATTCAACAAAGAAGGGTGTTTGGAGATTGTATTAAAGTATTTAAGTAGGTTTCCCACCAATGTTGACCTGGCTATTTCTGTAGGTAAGTGATGAAAAGATGATGATTTTGTTTAAAGTATGTGTGACCTTTTTCAAAATTTTTTATTCAGATGTAGATGTTTATTATGTAGGAGTGATCTTTTTCATTGTATATAAATGCATAGCTGAGGCACTCTTTTTGTTCTAAATCTTACCTTTCACTCTCTGAATAAGGTAGTTATGTGAGTTTATATAATTTCAAGTATATAATCATTCTTAAAAGCCTTGATTAATTCGTAAAGTTTTCATCTCCCATTTACTGAGAAACAGTAACCCATAGCTACCAAGGCTTTGAGCCAAAGTTAATTGGAATCTAGACTTATTTAAAGGTCTTACACCACTATCTCATGCTTCCAGCAGTAAACTGATAACCTGTGCCTTTTTTGAGAGAGGAAAATAAGTGATTGGAATTTCACATAGGCCTGTTTCCCTTGCGTGGGACAGAGTAAGCAAAGTCTGGCGGCGTCAGCTGCCTTGGCTCCCCTGCCTTCTCAGAATGTGGTCAGAGCCTTTTGGGGCCCTCACTCAGCAGAGGAAAGAGACAGAACTGAGGGTGGGAAATAATTGATGAAAAACCTACCTATCATAATGCCAGGCATCCAGCTGTCCTTTCATTTAACTGCATTTCTCCTGGCATGGATGAAGTGGATGTCCCTTAAAATGTTTCTCTTAAAAAAGTAATAGATACTTTTTAAGAGAACAGAAAAGACCAAAAAAATTGTGGAATAAATACTGCTGAGAACAAATTTTAAATCTTTTTCTCAAATGGAATCTTGTTATAGGAGAGATTTGTGAGTCAATGCTGATTTTAAAAACACTTGAACTAGGAAATTGGTAGGTGACTTTTAATGTCATAGGACAGTTTTTATTACAAAGAATTTCAGGACGTGCTTAGTTCTAAAAGGGGAACTTCACTTTTTGCCATTAGTCTTATTGTAGATTTAATTAATTTTTAAGTTTTTTTCCTTCTAGTCAACTTTGAAAAATGCATCAGAATAAAGTAGCTTTACAGTATAAAATGGTATTTTCTTTTTGCATTTAGCTAACTTCATAATTTCTTTTTAAAATGTTAGGTTACTTTGCCTTGAAAATCAAGCAAGGTTTGCATATAATAAAGTGGATCTTTGAGATTCCATCCTCATATTAACATTGTGAGATTCAACCTCAGGTTCCATCCTTATATTGATAGCCTCAGAGCTTGTGTTGTCTTTTATAGTAGCAGTCACAACTTGACTTTATGCTAAAGTGAATTTAACTAGTCTGTTAATGAGACTAGAATTTAGCTAATCTCTTATTATTTTGGATGTTTATGTATATGCACATATACATCTGAATGGATTTGTATGTGTATTTTGGAAACCAAACTAGATCGTAACCATGGTGTCTGTTTTGATTAACTTGGGTGAGCAGGCTCTGTTTCAAAGTTTTTGGAGCTAAAAAGAAATGAATTTGAGTGGAATGTGATATCTCAAAGAAAGCAAATTTGGATTTTCTTCCTCTTTTGTGCCTCAGGAGTCTGTTGTGTTGATAATTTCATGCAAACCCAGTTTTTATACTCAGTTCGTTATTTCTAATGTGCAGGTTGAAATGTGTTGTTTTAATAGCAAAGCAGTACTAAATGGATAATATCTTTAATACCCTACCCTTCTGTTAATTTACTCATATGTCTTAGGTAAAATGACTTTTCCTTAACTTACAAAAAAACTTTTAAAGCCATGCTAAATTTAAAGGAAGCTGGACTATCCCAGAACTTAGGGTTTGTTATAAACAACAAAATTACTCTAGCAGTGTGGGCACAGGGACTGGCATTCGATTTGTAGTCTATTGCTACTGATCCTTGATCATTACAGAAATTGCAGATAAACCTTTTTAAGTGTTTATAGTAATTCTACTTTGCCATAGTATTTAAGAACCTTTTAAATTGAATACTTACATATAGTTCTGTAAAGAAATGAAAATGAAGAAGAAGAAAAAGACCTTTAACAGCACTGCTAGTTTGGGGAGCCTCATTTGCATATATCATCCTTGAAATCGTGTATATTTACAAAAACTACAATGTCTAAAGAAGTATAAAGATATAAATGTGTTTTGATGAGTTATATTGGTGTAAATAATCCTAGCAGAATTGACTTGTTTCTAAATATTTAATGTTTGTCTTTATAGCATATTGTTTGCAGACGGTGACTGAAGATAACCCAGAGCTATTGAGATCTTTCAGTGCTCCGGCACTGCAGGTGCTGGAATCAGTTATGCTGTCTCCTGTCAATTCCATGGAATACATTCTTTTAAAGACATTAGTAGCAGGTAATATTTAGCCAAATGTGATACTGTACTTTTCTAGCAACCTGTAATGGTGGGAGTCAAGATTCAATCATTCCTTCATTTCATATCAGAGTTTTCTATGCTTCTGTCTCTTCTGAAAACTTTTAATGTTTAAATGGAGGCTCTTAATTTGATTGTGCATAGTTGCAAAGCCTCCTAGAGAAGATTTGTTTCCAAGTTAACAAACTTCTGTCATCTGGTAAAAAAAAGTTGTTGTCAGGATCCCTGTTTATAAACCAGTGAATTCAGAAAATGACTCTGGCCATTCAAAACGTGACTGCTTACTTCTATAAATTCTTTACCCTAGCTTTTTTCGCCCCAGAATTTCTGAATTCAGGAGTAAGAAATAATCTGATGATCTCTTGAGTAGTAGTGCTTTACATTGGTTCTGTACATATTTTCCCCTTGCCCTTTGGTGTTACAGCAGTAATTTATCCCCAGAGGTGGTTTTTTTTTTTTTGTTTGTTTGTTTGTTTTTTTATAGAGGCATGTTTTATTTATTTATTTGTTTTGTTTGTTTGTTTGTTTTGTTTATACATGCACTGGGTACAGTCAGAAGCGCGGGAGGGTGAGAGAATTCACCAGAGCCAGAGCAGGGAGCAGAACAGGCAGAAGGACCGAAGTACACTGCTGAGGGGAGCAGCGGGTGGCAGGAGAGGTCTGCGCACCATGTGGGATCCTCCTCCGGTGGCCGGGGAGCAGCCGGGGATCCAACCAGTGCTGCAGAGGCTGCTGGCAGCTTCGCAACCCAGCACTCAACCGCTGTGCCACCCGGGAGGCCTTTTTTTTTTAAGTTATAAACATGCAACAAAATTTGCCATCCTAGCCATTTTTAAGTGTATATTTCTAAGGTGTTAAATAAAGCCACAGTGTTGTAAACCAATCTCTAGAACCTTTTTCATCTTGCAAAAGTGAAACTATATACATTAAACAACTTTCCATCTCCTACCACCATCAGCCACTACCTTTCTACTTTATGTTCCTATGGAGTGGCCTACTCTAGGTTCCTTATAAAAGCTTAATCATCTAATACTTTTCTTGCTGTGACTGGCTTATTTCAGCGTTTGAACCTATTGTGCCATGTGTCAGAATTTCCTCCCTCTTTAAGGCTGAGTAGTAATTCCACTGCATGTACGTCATTTAACAGGGATAGATTCTGAGAAATGTGGTGTTAGGCAATTTCGTCATTGTGCAAATGTCATAGAGTGTAATTACGCAAGCCTACATGGTAGTCTGCTGCACTCACTCCTAGACTACGTGGGAGGATCACCTCTTGGGACCACTGTCATATATTGTAGTCCATCATTGACCAAAAGGTCATTCTGTGACTCTTGACTAGATATACCACACTTTGTGGCTGTTGAATTATGGTCCTGTGACTATAAATGCCCAAACAGACATTTGAGATCTTGCTTTTAATTCTTTGGGGTTTATACCCAGGAAGTATTTTCCTTTTTACAGCGCTGTTTGTTTAGTTGTCTTTGATTAGTCTAACTACTTCTTGGTAACTTCTGCTCTATTTCAATAAGCAAAAAACCCAGCACCTGTTCCCTGCTTTGTACATGAGACCTTGGAATTTTAGTACATTCCATTCCACTCTTGGAATATAAGAAGCTGCTTAAGAGAGCAGCTCAGGTTAAGATGAAAGAAAGTGAGACAACTTAATTTGTCATTTTAAAAGAAACTTGATAAGCGTTCCCTTGGTCTACTGCTACATGGTGTATCAGAGGAGGACTGTGTGCCAAGGGAGGGAGGTGATTGCAATGAACAGTAATAAAGGGAGAGTCCTCTCTACAGAGCTTTCTGACATCTAATAACAACTGAACAAAGACAGTGGGGTCAAGATTTTTTTTTTTTTTTAAATAATAAATTTTATTTTTATATTCCCCCATACAATTGCAAACGCCCCATTCTGACCCCAATCCTTCCCCTCCCGCCCCCCCACCCCCCAAAAGTGTCTCTGGTTCGTAGTTTTTTGTTGATTTTGATTTTCACTTTCTTATATTCATTTTCCTGGTCCCTTATTTAAGTTTTCTAGATTCCTGCTATGAGTGAGACCAGGGTCAAGATTTTTTTAAATCAATACCTGAGCTTAAAGAACCAGTGTTGTGGAATCTGTATTAGGTAAAAGGTTTCACATGTTATTCCTTTGTCCTTATGCTCACTTTTTTACAGGCACCGTTTGGAACCTAAAGGACGTTATTCCATCTAAGAGTCAGGCAGAAATCATAAATGCCATACTAAAGATCTTATCTGAAGTTTTGGAAATGGATGCTGGTAAAACGGTGATTCAAATGAAGGAGGCTGAGACTCAAAGGTTAAAAACTGCTGCGGAGACTGAGGAAATATTAGAGAATGTTAATGGTGATGATTTGATTGAAGATGATGAAATGGAAGGAATGCCTCATAAAAGAAAAGTCAGAAGGAAAACTTTTATTTCAGATTTACTTCCAGTAAGTCAGATGGATGCTTTCAAACATGGATTAATGCAGAGATTTTTTTCCCCAAGGGTATCCTAAGCTTTGTAGAAAAATATTATGGCAAAGTTAATTATAAATTATATTTCAGTAAAAATCAGCTTTGGTTTCCCATGGACTCTTATTATATAACATTAGAAATCTGAAGCAGGGGAAAATCTGTCTAAAATGAAATCTTTATATACAAAAGAAGTCAAGAAGACAGGCTATAGGAATATTTTTGCAACAATCTAGAAATTTGTGGTCAGCCTCCTAACTCTGCATCTCCCCACTTCACTTAGCCTCAGTCTCCCAGACTGCCTTCAAAGGAATTTTTCACTTGCCTTAGATTGTCCCTTGCTTTCTTGTCTCTTTTATTTTAGTATTTAGCCATACCAAAATAGCAAGCCAAATCTTTATTTGCCCACTGCTGCTGAGCAGAGGAGGTTGGGTGATTGTGAGAATTGGTGATTTATAGTTTTCACAGACTGGGACATTGCAGCATACTTGTGTTAGTGGGCCTGATGTTGGGGAGAGCGTCTTGGTTGCAGGAAACTTCTCAACTGAGCCAGTCACAGAGATAGAACCATACATTGGGAGAACATTTCCCCTAAGTCAGAGAGCAAATATAAATACTTGTGAAGAAGGGACAAAGGTGTGTGGGCTTTTACTCATTCGGGTGTACATTTTTCATGCTCCTGTTGTGTGCCAGACACTCTGTTAGATGCTGATGTAGAAAGATGATGATTAAGATCCATTTCCTGTCCTCAGGGGTCTCCATCTTGGGAGGACAGACACAGTTATAATTTATTATATTGCCTCATAATGGGACTGGGACTATGCACAGATTTCTAAAGATAAGGCACACCTGATTCTAGAGGAAAGGACATAATACCTGAGCTGTCCTTTAGGATGGAGTTAGAAGCAACGTGGTAAAAGAAGGTTATTAGCATTGTGACCTGGAGGGCCAATAGGGGCTGCCAAAGTCATTCTGAAGGAAGATGATGAAGTCTGAACTGGATGAAGGCTACTAATGTTCTCTCACATTTTCTAAAATTTCAGACATGGCCTGTTCTGACTCATATACAATGACCTGAGTCTTGGAGTTTTGTTAAGTTTGTCTTCAATAAGAGCTCTTTAATGGCATATCCCTGAAAATAAATATTATATACTAATTTCTGGCATCCATGAAATCTTGTAAAACATGGATTGGTGTTTTTTTTTTAAATGATACAATGTGTAGTTAGTATTATTTCCTGCTTCCATGAATAGCTGGTAGATGCAAAGCATCGTATTAAATATTGGAGTGAATACAAAAATGAGAAGACTACCCAGCCCTTAAGTTGCTTACAAAACATGAAGTGGCTTAAACTTATAACAACCACTTTTGGTGCACCTTGAGCATGGACTTGAGCCCTGATCTGCTTCTTGTCTTACTTGTTCATCTGAGTTTGATTTTAATAGAATATAAAACCAGCAAAGCGAGATAGACAAATAGTGGATCTCACTTAGTGTATAGACAGCAGAGTGTGAGCTTCTTCCCCCAAAGGGATGTTTCTCTAAACCCTAGCAGCACTATGTCTTCAGTTGGCACAGTAAGAATGAGTTAGATGCTGTAGGTATACTGTTTTATCACACCACATCCTTGTCAGAACAGAGATGGAATTATAGTGGGGCTGTCAAAGAACTCTGAAGTATCTGACACCTTCACTGGGCACAGAAAGACAGCCCTCATGCCTCACTGCCTTCCTCTCCAGCCTTGCTTCCAACCGGCTCCTGAAGGGAGTGAGTAGAGGTCAAGACCCAGATCTACCTGGGTTAAGATAGAAGGGCCACTGTTTAAAAACTTGATGTTTAACTTATTTTGAGATTTACTTTCTTAAGTATTTAAAACAGAATTTTAGCCCTTAGAAAATGCAGTGTTTACTCCTAACAAAACCTTGCTTTTTAAAATCCATTAACATAACTGAGTAAACTGGACGATTGACATGCGGGTCAGCCAACTGGTGTGTGCCAGGAGGGAGCTGACATGTGCCAGGAATACAAACTTAAAGGCAGTCAGCTCTGACTTTACACTGTTCAGGAGCGCCCTAGGATCAAAATCCTTAATTGCATCAACAGACTGGTGTAGTCACAAATACAAAAAGGAAGCACCCACCCAAATTGTTACTGTTCAACATATGCTAAAGTAGGGTACTCCCTACCCAGCTTCAGTTATCAACTGTCATAGCCTGTTTCATTTTTTTTCTATTTCTCTACCTACTCTCCCCTCTCACTTTCAAATATGTTGAAGCAAATTTCAGATGTCACAACATTTCATTAAGATTGGTTCTTTATGTCAGTTCTATAATGATAAGAAGCAGCGACATGTTCTCAGCAGGGGAGTTACGTAAAGAAGTGGAGTATAATTTCAGAATTCTTCTTACATTTTAAGTGGATAAGAACTCAGCAACAGTGTGTCTTACTTAACCTTGTGTGTACTCTAATGCTTGTTTAGCTAAATCTTATACACAGAGAAAATAAATAGGAATGATTTTTATATGCATTCTTGCCAGCAATATAAAAAGTATCTATATGGAACTGCTGTGTTTCACTTATTAAATCAGCAGTTTGCTGTTTCCCCCCTCCTTTTTTTTTAAAGATTCTAGTTCAAAATTGCACTTAAATTGTTGCATAGGAATGTTGCTGGGAGATTATCAACAAATATGAACATTTTGGAAAGGAAAATGGGACTGTGTTAACAGGATCTGTAGTTTTTTGTTTTTTAAAGATTTATTTATTTATTTATACAAGCACTGGGTACAGTCAGAAGTGTGGGAGGGTGAGAGAATTCACCAGAGCCAGAGCGGGGAGCAGAGCAGGCAGAAGAACCGAAGTACACTGCTGAGGGGAGCAGCGGGCGGCAGGAGAGGTCTGCGCGCCATGTAGTTTTTTTTTTAAAGATTTATTTATGCATACAAGAACTGGGGTACAGGCCAAAGGTATGGGGAGTGAGGGGGGATTCACCAGAAATAGAGTGGAGAGCAGAACAGGCAGACTGAAATACACTGCTGAGGGGAGCAGTGGGCGAGATAGGAGCATTTTGCTGTGCCATGTGGGTAGCTCCCTGGCTGGCTGGGGATTGAACTCATGCTGTAGAAGCTGCGGATAGATTCATGGTGCTGTGCTTAACCCCTTGTGCCACCAGGGAGGCCCTTGTAGATGTGATTTTAACCTTCCAACCAAGTAAATCTGAGGAAATAACATACTCAGGTAATCTGAAATATTCCATACTAGTGAAATGCTTTACAAATTATAGGGCATCCATTTAATGGAATATTATAGAGCTATTGAAAAGACAATAAGGAAACTTGAAATTGGAAAACATTTAAATAATATGGTTTTTTTGGGCTTATGTGCTATTTTGGAATATCATTGCAGCTTTTTCACTCTCATAGGTGATTTGAGAATAAAGGTCATATGAATTTATACTCCTCACTTTAAGAATGTTAATTAAAAAGTTAAGCTCATGTTAACATATTTCCAAAAAAAAAATCCCCTATTTTTTCAGTCTGAAAGAAATGCTTTATTTTCATCTTCAAAGAAAGCTAGGAAGTGAGACTATCTGCTCCTTTGCCAAGCTCTGTTGGTCAAATAAGTGCTTGTTAGTATTTCTTGTTAAAGCAGTCTTTTCCAAGAAGAGGTCCAAATATCAAAAAAGCAGATTTGTTGTGTATGAGTGCTCGGTGTCTGAAATGAACTCTTGTAATCTTAGTATTCAGAGCTATTTCTTAACACATCAGATTAAATTTCAGGGTGAATTCAGTTCAGAATTCCTGCATATTTATCTGTTCCCTTCAGTTAACTTAGCAACACTTGAAGAATAACCACCAGAGAGATGGAAACCCAGTTAACAGTGGCAGGCTCCACTGTGCCAAGTGGAATCATAATGCTTGTTTGTACTTCTAGCATTTTTTAGCTTTTCTGCTACCCACCCCAACCCCCATGTACTCTATTCCAAGTGCAAAAATCATCTAGTAGCTTTTTACTAAGCAAATTTATGCAAGAATATTTTCTTAAACATTGAGAGTTGGTTGTTTGCTTTTTGCTTTTTTTAGCCTACTGACAAGGAACTGAGAGAGACCATGGCATTGCTGACAGCTCAACAGACTGCTCTGGAAATTATTGTCAATATGTGCTGCAGTGAAGGTTTGTTACCAGTTTGCATTTACACATTCTCCCCCTACGCTGAGAGGGCAGCTTCCATGAGGATTTGCTTTAATGTTCCAGTTATGTGTGGTTTGCACTCTTCCCAGAGCCCTCCGATGATGAATGGGAAGAGCTTTCCAGCAGTGACGAAAGTGATGCATTTATGGAGAATTCCTTCAATGAGTGTGGGGGGCAGCTGCTGTCTCCCCTCTGCCTCTCCCATGAGATTCACACTGCTCTCACCAGTTACCTCATCCCAAAGAAGGTAATCTGCTTTCATTCTACACTCGGTGTGGAGCATGGGAAAGGCTTAAATCTATTCATTCTTAATGAAAAGAAGTAAACTCACACTTCCGGCTTGTAGGTAATTGGTAAGATCTTGGAAACAACAGAATAAATAGTGCTGGAAGTAGACTGACAGTTTCTTTATTAAGCCTAATCATTTTACTGAGAAGTAGTGTGTTGGGATTTTGTAAAGGGTATAAAATGACTCTACTCTTTAACTTAGGCTTTACTGCCTTTCAAAATCTAGATTTTTGAGAAAACTGCCTTTCCAAACAGCACTGCAGTCGACATATGTTCTAAGAATCCCATGTGGAAACCTTTGATTAGAAAGTAAGTACTTTTCTGTTTTCCAAAACGTTTGTTATTATGTTATTATATGAAATGATATATGCTATGCACAGTTGTCCCAACCTGGAAACAATCTCCATCAGTAGCAAAGTGAATACATAAATGTTGGCATAATCATATTGTAGAACACATACAGCAATAAAAAGGATCTGAATTAAAACGACTCACAATATGCATGAAACTTACAACATCAAACCAAAAAAGGGGGCACAAAAGAATATGCACACAGTGATTCAGTTTTTACAAAGTTCCACAACAACAACACTGAACAGTATTGCTTAGGGATGCCTTCAGGGTGGCAAGCCTCCTGAGGAAAGCCGGGACAGGTTAGCCCTAAGGATAGCCCTAAGGTTAGCCCTTAGGTTAGCCCTAAGGATAGCGGTAACCTTAGGAGTTGGCGTGACAGACCAAGGTGCTCGCAGTGTTTATATCTTATCTCAGTTCACTGGGTGTTTTCTTTTAAACTCTGTATATGCATTGAGCACTTTACTGTATGCATATCATATTTCACAATTAAAAATCATTTTAAAGATGCCATGCGTAGAAGTTTTTCTGGTCAGATTGTTATGACTCATACATGGGATGTGTCTTGGAGGCACTGCTTGAGTTGGTAGATGCACAATTTGCCGTAAGATTCTGTGCTGACTGCCACAAACCTTCTTCTGTTTATGGATAGATATTCCCAGTCAGAATCTGAAGCTTAGGTTAAAAGTTAATACTGAATGCTCTCATGTAACTCTCAGAGAAACACAGAATTCCTTCACTTCCTTTCCAGAATGAACACCATACAATGTAGAGCTCTGGTATGTCTCCAGAGTCTTGTGTCCCTCCTGGATGTGGACCATCTGGGAGGAGCTCCAGCCCTTCAGACGCTTGCACAGCATCTGTCAGAACTGCTCTTTTCTCAGCCAGGTAAATATTTGGGCTTTATTGTCAAAGACTCAGAGCAAAATTTTGAAGGGGCAGAACTGGGCTTTGTAATTGTACACTGTTTATCCTCCAACCTGAAGACACCTTTTCCAAACACCAACAGCCATACAGCCATATTTTTATTTTTTTTTTAAAGATTTAATTATTTATGCATACAAGAACTGGAGTACAGGTCAGAGGTGTGGGGATGAGAGGATTCACCAGAGACAGAGTGGGTAGCAGAACAGGCAGAGACTGACTGAAATATACTGCTGAGCAGTGGGCGAGACAGGAGAGGTTTGCTGTGCCATGTGAGTTACCTCCCTGGCTGGGGATTGAACTTGTGCTACAGTAGCTGCGATTGCTTCATAGTGCTGATGGTTAACCCGTTGCACCACCAGGAAGGCCCCAGCCATGTTTGTAGTTGCCAGCAGTATGGAGTCAAAACAGGTTATATCAGCAGGTCTATGGTTATATATTTCTTAAAATTGTTTGTATCCAGTTATATCAGGCCTACTAAGGCTGAATCACAAGTAACAGATTTCTTTTTCTTAATGGAAAGCCATTTCAGTCAGGTTTGATTGAATAATACATATATGTGTTGCAGGAGCTAAAAGTTATTCAAGGGCATAAAGTGGAAAATTCAAACACCTTTGTGTAGTAGGAGCTTACAAGTCTATGAGTGGATTAATTTCATTTGCACACAAAAACCTAGAGAGATACAGCACATGTTCACCTAGGTATACGACATCTAATGTGTGCTCCTCTGGTAGATTTTCACAGTTCATTGTAGGAGAATGTCATGTAAGTTGGCTGCATTAAACTATAAAGAGTGACTGAGAGAGAGAAAAAAGTATAAAGGAAAATTCCCATTACCCAGCGTGAATGTCTGGAGTAGGCTAAGATCAGAGATAAAAATCTGCTGCACTCTCTGCTGCTCAGCTTCAGAATGTCTTTTAGGAGTAAATTGAAGATACGTAGTTGCTTTCTGCACTAATTTTAGAATCTTACCACCAGATAAGATAAAACTCAACTGTATTACATCCAGTATATTTTCATATATTTCATTGTAAACTGTTTCACATGTCCCTATCTCAAACACAACATTAAGTCCAGGAACTGATCATTTAAAAGATCAAAATACCAAGTTTCTGTATAAATATTCATTCAAGAGTTGATCACTAGTTCTTTTTCCTTAATCAGATTGGGGAAGAGGGTTCCCAGTTCTTTAGATAGACCTCTATTTTTGAACTCCTCAAGCTCATAAGTGTTTAATTTTTTTTTTAAGATTTATTTATTTATTTATACAAGCACTGAGTACAGTCAGAAGCGCAGGAGGGTGAGAGAACTCACCAGAGCCAGAGCGGGGAGCAGAGCAGGCAGAAGGACCAAAGCACACTGCTGAGGGGAGCAGTGGGCAGCAGGAGAGGTCTGCGCGTCATGTAGGACCCTCCTCCAGTGGCTGGGGAGCAGCCGGGGATCGAACCGGCGCTGCAGAGGCTGTGGGCAGCCTCGCAACCCAGTGCTCAACCGCTGCGCCACTGGGGAGGCCCCATAAGTGTTTAATTTTTAATTAAAAATGCCAGAGTGATTTTTTTTAATGTAGCAAATAAGTGTTCAGAAACATGTACTGTGTGATATACAGATAATAACTGGTTTCCTCTTCCAACTTTCTTATGCACTGGAAGAGATCTGGTTGGTGTGGAGAAGAGGGTTTTTATTTGACTTGTGCTGGGATTCCTACTCCTGTCAGCATTGTAGGGTGGAGCGGTGGTGGGCTGCTCTTACTCTTACTCACTAACAGCCATTCTGTGGCTCCCTGCAAGGTCAAATAGGGAAGTCCACAGCCAGGGCCCCAGATGATCAGGACCCACACAGTTCTCTTACTGCTTCCAGGCCCTGCCTAATCTGAGGGAACTCCAACTGCCTTAGTTTACAAAGCTGTCATCTCTAGCCTCCAATCTGTTTCTCAGTGAGAGTTCAATCAGGGTACCACAAACCCCACTCCCAAATAACACGAAAAAATTCATTTCACTTGAAATAAATGCACATATTCTGTTCGTCTGCTATACAGAAAACACTTGAATCTGTGTCTTCCAGTTGAGCTGGCTTTTTGTGGTCACTGATGCTTGCACATTGGTTATCAGGAAAGGCATAGGAAAAGCATACCAAGCTGAGCCTTGGAGAAACTATACAAAATTTCTCAATTGGGGGAAAATATAATTAGATACTTTTATTTTAAATACATTTTTTCTTATGACTAGTCTTCACATAGTCATTTCTTACCAGAATGAAATTTTAGTTTAAGGATAATCATATATTTGGAGATGATATTCTGACATAGTCCTTCTTAATATTTGGGATTTATCAAGTAATTAAAGCCTCCAGGGGGCCTCCCTGGTGGCGCAGGGGGTTAATAAGCACAACACTGTGAAGCTATTCACAGCCTCTGCAGCATGAGTTCGATCCCTGGCCGACCAGGGAGCATCTACATGATGCAGCAGACCTCTCCTGTGTCTCCTGCTGCTCCCCTTAGCAGTGTATTTCAGTCAGTCTGCCTTTTCTATTCCCCACTCTGTCTCTGGTAAATCCTCTCACCCCCTGCACCTTTGGCCTGTACCCCAGTTTTTTGGGTTTTTTTTTTTTAAGATTTTTAAAAATTTTTATACAAGAGCTGGGGTACAGGCCAGATGCACAGGAGGGTGAGAGAATTCACCAGAGACAGAGCAGGGAACAGAACAGGCGGATGACAGAAATACATTGCTGAGGGGAGCAGCGGGCGAGACAGGAGAGGTCTGCTGCGCCATGTGGAATTCTTGCCAGCCAGTGGGGATCAAACCCGCACTGCAGAGGCTGCAGACAGCTTCACAGAGCGGTGCTCAACCTGCTGCACCACCGGGGAGACCCTGTACCCCAGTTCTTATATGCATAAATAAATCTTAAAAAAAATAAAGCCTCTAGGATCTATACAGATAGTGTGAACTGTATTAGAGAATTTGATGGGGAGGATAGGGCCAGATTTCTCTGTTTTCCTAGTACCACGTTTAAGTTAAATGTATAAGGTTCATATGCTCAGATGTGTTTTCATTTTAATACTAAAATACAGTTCTGAGAAGTTATAAAATGTGTGATACATACTTATATTATGTTTGTGGCTAATGTAAGAGATAAGAGGAGTTTTAAGTAGAATCTGGTCTTTGCATTCAAACATTAATATCTCTGTCTCATTAAAAACTATCGATTTTTATAAAACTTTTTTTTTTTAAATAATAAATTTTATTTTTATATTCCCCCATACAATTGCAAACGCCCCATTCTGACCCCAATCCTTCCCCTCCCGCCCCCCACCCCCCAAAAAGTGTCTCTTGTTCATAGGTTTTTTGTTGATTTTGATTTTCACTTTCTTATAGTTATTCATTTTCCTGGTCCCTTATTTAAGTTTTCTAGATTCCTGCTATGAGTGAGACCATCCGGTATTTTTCTTTTTCTTTTTGGCTTATTTCGCTGAGCATGATCCCTTCCAGCGCCATCCATGTTGCTGCAAATTGCATGTGTTTATCTTTTTTGAATGCTGAGTAATATTCCATGGTTATATGTACCACATCTTCTTGATCCAGTCATCTATTTTTGGGCATTTGGGTTGTTTCCAAAGCTTAGCTATTGTAAACAGTGCTGCTATAAACATAGGGGTGCAGGTGTTCTTTGGAATTGATGTTTCTGTGTCCTTTGGGTAAATACCTAGGAGTGGAATTACTGGATCATATGGAAGCTCTATGTTTAGTAGGTCCAGAAATCTCCACACAGCTTTCCACAGTGGTTGGACCAGTTTGCACTCCCACCAACAGTGCAGAAGAGTTCCTTTTTCTCCACACCCTCGCCAACATTTGTTGTTGCTAGTTTTTTTAATATGTGCCATTCTCACTGTGTGTGTAGATGGTATCTCATGGTAGTTTTGATTTGCATTTCCCTGATGACAAGTGATGTTGAACATTTTTCATATGCCTGTTGGCCATTTGCAATTCTCTTCAGAGAAGTTTCTTTTTAGCTCTTCTGCCCATTTTTTGACTGGATTATTTTCTTTGTTGTTGTTGAGTCTCATCAGCTCTTTGCAGATTTTTGTGATCAGTCCTTTATCATTAGTGTTGGGTGAAAAAATGTTCTCCCAGTTGGTGGGGTTTCTCTTTGTTTTTGTTATTGTCTCTTTTGCTGTGCAGAAGCTCTTTAATTTGATGTAGTCCCAGCTGTTTATCTTCGCCTTCACTATCACTGCTTTGGGTGATGTGTCTGTAAAGATGTCTTTGATGTGCAAATCACGTAGTGTTTCGCCTATATTTCCTTCTATATATTTTATGGTTTCAGGTCTTATGTCTAATTCTTTAATCCATTTTGAGTTGATTTTTGTGTATGGTGTGAGGTAGTGGTCAAGCTTCATTCTTTTGCATGTAGCGACCCAGTTTTCCCAGCACCATTTATTGAACAAACTTTCTTTGCTCCAATGCATAGTCTTTGCTCCTTTGTCAAAGATTAGTTGACCATAAATCTGTGGGTTTATTTCTGGATTTTCTATTCTATTCCATTGGTCTGTATGTCTGTTCTTGTTCCAATACCATGCAGTTTTGATGATTATGGCTTTGTAGTAAGTTTGAAGTCTGGGAGTGTGATGCCTCCATTCCCTTCTTTTTTTTTCAGGAGAGCTTTGGCTATTCGGGGTTTTTTGTGATTCCATATGAATTTCATCAATAATTGTTCTATTTCTTTGAAGAATGAAATTGAAATTTTGATTGGAATAGCATTGAATCTGTATATTGCTTTCGAAGGATGGCCATTTTAATAATGTTTATTCTTCCAATCCATGAGCAGGGATATCTCTCCATTTCTTTGTGTCTTCTTCTATTTCTTTAACAGTGTTTTATAGTTTTCTTTGTATAGGTCCTTTACCTCTTTTGTTAGATTTATTCCCAAATATTTGATTTTTTTTGTTTCAATAACGAAAGGGATGGTTT